ATCGAGGAGCCATTCACTGAAATTTTCACTGATAATCAAAAATTCAAAATTTTAGAAAAAGTATCAGGGGAACATGACAATCGAGTAGGTATTCAGTTTTTAAACAATAATTCGATTGATTTGCCATTAACAAAAAAAAATTGGAATTATTATGAAAAAAAAAAATGAATGATGCCGGGATTGAACCCGGGCCGCCGGCGTGCCAGTCGAGCACGTTACCGCTAGGACAACGCGCTTATTCAAAATCATAAATTCATTAGTGGTATATATTCAATAGATTGAATAATTTTTTCCATTGAAATTCCACAAGATGTGGTTTCCCCCTTCCGTACGTGCTACAGTCGGCTAAATTTCAGTTAAACAAATGAAAAACAAAAAGCATTCGTACAGTAGAAAATAAAATTCACCCCGTCGACTTGATGGACAACCCAGCATTGCGTGGGGTGCCCTCCCTCTCTTGGGGTGCAGTACTACGATGCCGCTGGGGTCACTCAAACCCCCAGAACTGAGACTCTACTTTAGTCAATCCTCTTTGGAGGGACCAGTCGACGGGGTGAATGTTATTTGCTACGTTACGAAATTGGTATTCACTGAAATTTTAAAATTTTATGGAATCACTTAAATTTTTTACCCCATTTGACCCATAACCAAATCCAATTAACCGTACTTAAAAATTTGAACCATTTTTTCGGTAAGTAAAATAATATTTCAATTACCTTTTACTTATATTGTTCGTTAATTACACGAGCATTTTAGTTTCTATTCTGACTATCTGAAGTTGGCGCGAATGAAATCGAGGTTTATGTTCGGTGGAATGAATTTTTTTGCATTTACATAATTATTTATGAGCCAGAGGCTTGCTCAGGTGTTTTATGGAAAGGAAAGTTAATTAGTGTGATTAGACAATAATTGACCATGGGGCTTATCAGGTAAGTACTGTGAATTGTGGAAGTGATAGAATTTTCTCGGGAATTTTAATTGTTCTTTTTTTATTTAGGTTTGCTGCGAAGTCTAGTTTGACTGGTGGATTTATTTATTATACAGTTCAGGGGGGGTTGTGGTCCTCTCCTGAGGACTCTATAAAATTCTACCAGGGGATTTATAGTAAGATTACACCGTACATTAAGGAGTATGCCAGCCCGGATATTACTGCTGGGGTGAGAATAATCTGAGGATAGCAGAGTAATTATCATATTTTGTGAATTCAATGGTTCACTAATTTTTCAGATAGCCACGGTACCAAGTGCAACTACAATGATCGGTTGTTCGAGGGGTGTGTGGAATAAGGCCGTTAAAATAAGCTTTAGATTTCTCTCGGAATTGCCTGCTCACATGTCAAATGGTATTGACTCTTTGATGTCACTGCCAGCTGTCAGAGATTCTATAGAGAGTATAAAAGGAGCAGATCAAGCCCCAGCACAAGTTAAACCACAATGAAATCCTTTTCACGTACTTTAATTTTTATTTCCCTTTTCTAAGGGGTTAAAACTCTGTAGAAATCACCACCAAATATTTTTGCGATTTTTTTTTCATTTGGAGCTGCGTCTTACAGATTTTTAATAAGACTTCATAGTATTTATGTATAAATAATGAAAAGAAGAAATAAATCATGTCAGTGGCAAAATGTTTAATCATCGAGGGAAATTAATTTAATACAACCAAAGTAAATTGATGATTAATTATTGTTATTGTATTTTTTAATATTAGTAAAAAAAATTAACTGCGTGGTCATTCAATTGGGTCTCGTTTTTTTTTTTTGGTTGGAAGTAAAATTGAAGATAATTTTCAAAGAAAGTTCACGTAATGTCCACAAGTTGGCGTAAACTCCCGGACCCTCCCGGGTGATTGGCAAAATATATATATTCACACACGGAAAAAGGAAGACACGACTTCTCGGGATCACGTGATCAAGACCATTTGGTTAGTTGTGCTAGAAATAATGGCGGACAAAGACGAAAGTGAGAAGACCATTGCCGAGGACTTGGTTGTTACCAAGTATAAGATGGCTGGGGTCATCGTAAACCGTAAGAATATGAAATAATAAATAGCCAGGAGCATTTTCATCCCGAATTTATCACTCTATGTTCCATTGGGAAATTTGTACACAGCCATATGGAATGTGGCCCGCCAATGCCGGTCAACCATGTGGGCTGGCGTTCCATAATTTTCTAATATCGGATCCATCACATCCTCCTGCAATGTGCGATCCTCTCCAATCCCCTTACAATTCACTCGTTTTCTCCATCGAATGGAAAATTCAGAGAAATTGGATGAAATTATTCCTGATGAGCTCCCCACCATTATGATATTTTTGCTCGTTTTTCCAAGCGTTTCACCGCTGGGAAAAACAACTCGGATTTTCCTAGCACATCGCATGCATTCGAAATATCCTAGTGATATTCTATTTCATTATGGAGATATTTATTCCAAATCAATTGAGAATGGAATATTTATTTTTATTGGAGAATGGACTCTAGCCATTGTTTTATGCATTTGCATTCACTCAGAGGCCCTCAAACAAGTTCTGGAGAAATGTGTTGCCGGTGCATCAGTCAGAGAAACGTGTGAATTCGGTGATGAACTGTTGCTGGAGGAGACCAGCAAAGTCTTCAAGAAGGAGAAAGAGTTGAAGAAGGGTATTGCCTTTCCCACGTGCATATCTGTAAACAATTGCATTTGTCACTTTTCGCCAATTGCCAGTGAGCCTGATCTCATCCTCAAGGAGAACGACATGGTTAAAGTGTGAGTTGAAGAGTTTAAAAATTGAAATACAAGTTTTTCCCACAGGCTAATGGATGATAATGGAATTGTTGGTGGGTTTAGGGATCTTGGAGCACATCTAGACGGTTTTATTGCGGTAGTGGCACACACGATTGTTATCGGCTCATCACCAGATAAAAAAGTCACTGGGAGGAAGGCAGATGTTGCTCTAGCTGCTCATTTTGCCTCTCAAGCTGCTCTCAGGCTATTGAAACCAGGAACTGAGGTGAATTAATCGACAACATCAACTGATTTTCCAATAATCCCCATGATTTGCTAATTCTCTTGTTATTAAATTACAGACGTACTCTATAACCAGTACAGTGGAAAAAATTTGTGGTGCCTACAAATGCAAGCCAATCGAGGGAATGCTGTCCCACCAATTGAAACAATTCAAAATTGACGGTGAAAAGACTATTATTCAAAATCCCAATGACGCACAGAAGAAAGAGCACGAGAAGTACACTCTGGAGACTCATGAGGTTTATGCAATGGATGTACTTGTGAGCACTGGTGAGGGAACAGGACGTGAGCAGGACACTCGTGTCACAATATACAAAAAAACTGATGAGACGTATCAGTTGAAACTCAAGGCATCACGTATGTTTTACTCCGAAGTCACTCATAAGCATGGCCTAATGCCTTTTAATTTACGCACCTTCGAGGACGAGAAGAAAGCCAAAATGGCGGTTGTTGAGTGTGTCAATCACAGACTCATTGAGCCATTCCAAGTGCTTTATGAAAAACCTAGCGAACATGTGGCGCAGTTTAAATTTACAGTATTGCTGATGCCTAATGGACCACATAAAATCACTGGTTTACCCTTTGAAATCGACTCATTCCAGTCGGACTGCGTTGTAGATGATCAAGAGTTGAAGGTAGTCATTCCAAAAATGAAAATGCCAAATAAAAGTCGTTTCACCTTGAAATTCACGTTAATTGTTGATTATTCGTTATTTTTAGACTCTGCTCAACTCATCAGCAAATCCCAAGTCCGCTAAGAAGAAGAAAAAGAAGGCTGAGAAGGCCCTAAGCGAGGTAGCAATGGAGGTCGATGCCAAGGCTTAACACGATCAATTTTTTTTTTTTATCAATCAAATGTACACGCCCCATGACTTCATTGTGCACTCTTCCTCCAGCTGAGCCGTTATATGAAGTAAATCGTTAATAAAATCCAATGATAAATGCAGAGTGACGTGCGATGCTTTCTCGTAGAATCCGTCACAAAGATATTGAGGAACAACTCCCTGTGGCAACAGACACTGTCTCACTGCCGTTATAGAAATTATGTTGATGAAAAAAATTTTTTTTTTTTCAAATTCCAATTCTTTTCTTTTTTCTATTTGGAATACGTGGGTGCGCACGTATCACACCCATTAATATGGACATTCGTTATTCGTGACTTTTGGTATGGTATGAATTTTTTTTACTGCATCTCAGTATCTCTTGTTGATTTCACCATTGAAAAATAATCACTGTTAATTATAATATATAATTAATGAATTTGATAATCAAGTGAGTTAAAAATGAGTAATAAAGAAGTGTCTTGAGTATACCAGTACAGATTTCCTCGAGTAATTTGTTGGAAAAATTGATAATTTCATAATTTCTTCTGCCTTTTCATTATTTTTTTTTTCTTTGGTCTCAATAAAATTGAATAATTGTGTTGACAACGTGTAATCAAATCGTCTAGAATCTTTTTAAAGATGTAAAAATTAACGGAGTGTAATTGATAAAGATGAAAAAAAATCATATTTACAATGCGATAAGTGTTTTATTCATTTATAAAACCCTTGATGCTCAATTAATTAATCACAATTGTTTGATAATTAATTATAATGATCAATGCCTTGAGATAATTGCCTAAAGTTTAACGTAAATGTACAGTTGTCATTCACACGTCGATTGGCTGCTATCCAGCCATCTCGACGTCATTATTTTGAAATTTTAATTTTAGAGTGATAGTATTGGGTGTCGTGACATCAGCGACATTGATCTCGATGCCATCAACCAGCCCTAGCTCTCGTAATGTCTTTGCCAAGTTGGGACGAGTCTTTTCCTCGATACTCTGGACTGTCTGCATGTACAGAGTCCTATTTTTTCCCTCCACATTTACCACAATTCCAGGATTCTTCATCTGGAGATCAGTTTTCTCACACAACAAGTCGATTAACTCCCGAAGTTTTACATTGCTGTCACGAATTTGAATCTCCCTAGGGACTTCACTACAAGCCAAACAGTCTTTCTTCTTCTCAGCCTCGTACGTATACGTGTAGATGCCATCAAGATTGTTCAACACCTGAAATAAAAAAAAAATATTTCAATAGATACATATAAAAAACATGGAGAATTAATTTTTAAGGACTTAGTATAATAATTCAACTTACCATATAATTATTCAATGAGGCACTGCAGCTAGTGGCGAGTTTAAATACCTCAGTGGTGCAAGTAGCGGCGATAGTGGCATTGGTGGAGGCCACAGCAGGAATAATATTCTTGACAACCCCCTGGACCAGTCTGTAAGTCAACCCCCTGATACCAAACTGGCTCGCCCTTTCCTGTGACTTCTCGTAGATCCAGTTGATGTGCTGGGGATCATCGCCGTCGATGGCAGCTTCGAAGGGGTTTTCCTTGGGCCAAACGATCACCTTGACATACTCAACGCAGTGCTCAGGAAGCCTGGGAGTATTGGCAATGGTGCAAAGTGGATAAGTCACCTGTGGAGGGTAAAGATCGAGAGTGCACTCGATGCAGGCAGTCAGTCCTGGCAGAATGACCCTGGCATTGCCCTTGAATCCCTCTGTACCACCGTCCACCATCGGAATCACAGTCGACTGATCAAGCTCTCCATCCTCATAATTCAGCAGTGATATGAGCATTCCATTGATCCACCTCCTGGCTATTATCGAGTCCAGTCCACAAACAACTATGTGAAATTGACGATAAAACTCCTCGTCCTTGTCCTGGATCATGCAGCAGTGATGAATCACTCTGCACCCGGGAATCCTCGAGTTGATGAATCTCGCAGCGATCTCCGCCTTGGAGGAACCCAGATCTTTGTGTCTGAACAAGAATTGACGATTGAGATTCGAGAGTTCAATGGTGTCCATGTCGATTACGTGAATCTGTCGAAAACCCATGAGGGCAAGGTTCTTGAGGAGCTCACAACCTAGTCCACCAGCTCCAATCACCAATATCTTACAATTTTCCATGAGGAATTGAAGAGTGTCTGGAGAGGCCTCGAAATCGGGTCGACAGAAAGGCCCTGAACGCTCCAGAACCTTTCGCAGGTGACCCCATCTCCTGTGAGTGTGATCAGACCCCATTCTCTCTGCTAATAATAATTTCAAATAAATATTTTTCCCTGTAGCCAGCCCTGTAGTCTTCTTGGGGATCCCAGATTTATCTATGGGATATAACCTCGGCCGATTGTGAAGGCCTACTATTGAATTCTTCGATCCCTCACGATTTTATTGCACGTGTGAGAGGATGAGACTCACCAGGTCTTCTCGGAGGACGAATTATCGTCAGATGTCCACAGATAAAAACTCATTCCAACTAATGTGAGGGACTTGCAGGACGAGACTGAATGAATAGCCGGAATAATTCTCTCATCTTTCTTGTCTTGTGTTAAAACCTGTGATTGGTCCTCTTCAAATTCCCACGTGATACCACCCCTAACCTCTCACCAAACAATCAACAAAGCAAACTGTCACAATCAGAGATGACGGAGATGACCGATGACACAGGTAACACCAGTAACACTGGTAATACCGGTAAAAATGAAATAACCTGTAAATATTGCGATAAATCCTGTGATTCGTACAATAATCCAAGTCTCAAGTGCAGTGGTGAATGCTCTCGACAAATTCACGTCAAGTGTCTCAAGCGAGGAGGAGTGCCAGGATCTCTAATTGGTGATGTATTCTTTAGTTTGTACTGCATGGAGTGCAGTCCCCTCGGCGAGGAGACCATCACCAGGGAGAAGATGTCCTGGTTGAACATCATCATCCTGACACTCTACAATCTTCGTGAGAAATCTAGTGGCATAAGCAAACGCGGCTACTTTCACTGGAAATCAGACATCAGTACATTTGTGGACAGAAACTGGGATTATCTGTTCCAGAAGAGCGTGAAGAGAAAGAAAAACTGGATTGGAACGATATCGGGGACATTGTCACATTACAGTACAACTTTTTTTAAATCCGGTACGAGTGAGCTGGGGGAGTCGGGCTGGTGGAGGCTGGTCGATATTGATCCTCCGGAGGTGCTCATTGCTAAGAATAGTAAGATGATTGTTGAGAGGAAGAGGCAACCGGGGAGTATCCAGGTTAAGGCTATAATTGCCTGCAGTCCTCCGAGGTCAGAATCGAGTCTATCTATTGGAGATGACAGCTGCACCGGGGAGTCTTCCAGGATTCAGACACCCTCGATGTTCTCGAGGGAGTACGTTCAGCCCTCTGAGGTCCTTTCGCATTATCTGATGGCTGATGATGAGATGCCAGATATGGGTTGTCTGGATGTTGAAGACAGTGTCGATCTGAGTGATCAATCTCTCTCTTACACAGATCTCATGAAGGAGTACCAGAGCCAGAGCACTTTACTCAGTGGTTTTAATCCAGAGTGGATGAACAACATCTTGAATCAATCCACCAATCATTCTCAGGTGACAGAGATCAAGCAGGAGGAAACGGAGAATGAGAATGGAATCCCCGGCGAGGACAGCAATGAGAGCGGTGAAGCAGTTGGAGAACCTCCAAATTCACTGTTCACAGTTAATAACACTCGGCAGCGGCCCTGGAAGAGGAAGGACAAGCCATTAGTAAAGAAGAAACAGGAGAAGATGAGCAATTACGAGGTGTGCTATCTTCTCCAGGGTGTCAACAAGAAACGTCTCGAGTCAGCCCCACCCTCAATCCGGAGGTTCTATCGCAAGCTAGCCCTCAGGAAGATCAAGTACGACTGCAATCTGCCAGTTCTGGACATTGACAGTTTTACACTCAAATCAGACAAGGAGAACATGAAGATGATGATGAGAAGGAGGAATAGAGTGATAGACCGTTTTTATAATGACAATTTTAGTGTTAATTTTGAGCAGAGGCTACAGGGACATGCCGAACCCACTGCCATTCACAGTCCATACACCAACAGACTTTTAAAGCCTTTTATAAGGCGAGATAGAGACAGCCATCCTCTGTGGCTGAGAGTCCTGGATGAAATGCAGGCTAAAGTCCAATTGAACAGTGACGATGTGGAGATTGCGGAGAGAGGAACGATCGATTATTGCTATGTCAGGCCACAGCACATACCAGCCATGAATAGCCTCTGCAGTCTATTTTTTTGGCCTGGCATCGATCTCACTGAGTGTCTACAGTATCCTGATTTCACCTGTGTCGTTCTCTACAAAAAACTCATCATTGGATTGGCCATTCTCGTGCCAGACGTTGGATACAACGAGGCATACATCTCATTCCTCTTCACAAGGCCTGAGTGGAGGAGATGTGGCATCGGAACTTTCATGCTATATCATTTGATACAAACGTGCATGGGAAAGGATGTGACTCTTCATGTCTCTGTGACTAATCCCGCAATAATTCTTTATCAGAAATTTGGATTCAAGATAGAGGAGTTTGTTCAGGATTTTTATGACAAGTACATGGCACCTGGACCGAGAGAGTCCAGACATGCGTTGTTCTTAAGGCTGAGCAGATGATTTATTTATCAAACCATGCAATTATCTCTTGAAATTAATAAAAAAAAAAGGGTTTTCAATTCTCTCTGTTTATATCTGCTTTCGATTCAATTTTTTAGACTGTTAACAGTTATTTTTATTAAGTTATCGGTTTACAGAAATTTAGAGCAATACTGAACGACTCCATTCCGTGGTTGTGTGCTCGATTAATGAGATCAATTAATCATCAATGAAAAAACTTCTTTTGGTACAGATTGTGCACGAAATAATCCAAGAAAAATATCTATTTTACATATTTAGTTTGACATATATTACGCTGGTCCCTTCCATAATAAACTGAGTCCATCTCCACGTGAATTTTCAACTCAACACTTTAATTATCTATCGAAATAATAATGATCTAGTCATTTGGAAGACTTGACGACTACAATTCTTGATTAAATCGATAAACTAAAGTTTGAATTAACAAACGTAAGTATAATACATTGGTAATTAACCTTGTTCTTTATTATACTAACAAACTGTGCAGTTTTTGTGACATTTGTTGGTTTTTTTTTTTATAAAAAAAAAAATTGCTAGCAATATAATGATATTAACAAATGGAGACAGTAATACAAATATTTGCTTACAGTGAAGCTATACATTTAAATGGTTATCGTCCACCATCTGTATAATAAAATTCAAAACATGGGTTTTTACATCGACATATTGTTTTTCCACTATCCCACATTATATCTGGGGTAAAACAATTGCTCCCAAGTTTGTGTGGATCGTAAGAAATCATGTATTATGCTGCAGCCTTCAATATTCAACAAAAAATCAACGATGTGGTTAACTTTAATGCTCGCGCATCGGGAAAAATACTTTGTTAAATCACATATTGAAATAATATTCACATGAAATTCAAAATTTTCATTCAAGGGAAAATAAAGGTGAACTGTGCTCTCTCTCTCTCTCTCTCTCTCTCTCTCTCTCTCTCTCACACACACACACATACACACACACTCACACGCACACACACACTCGCTCTCGCTCTCGTAATGCGTCAGAAGTACTCAACATTTGATTTTGCCGTGGACTAAGGGAGAAATAAATTCATGATTGTGTTGTGATGGCTCTAAACGTAGAATGCAGTCTCGTGTAATTGTAAAATCAATTGTCATCGACTCTCCAGATCCTACGGTATTTCAGATTGTATGATTGCACAAGTGATTAACAATACTGGACGAAAATTTTCTAATATTTTCAAGACAAACAGCTCTCAATGTCGAAGAAATAATAGTGAGTTAATTATCGCCTCATAGAAAAAAAAAATGAAAAAAAAAAAAATTCTAATCGATGAAATGATATCGTTCAATTTGTTCCATTTTCTACTTAACGAAAGCTCCAACTTCTCAGGCACATTCGAGAAATCATGAACGAATCCGATTTTTTATTTATACATTTGCTACGGAAATTCTATTGTTTGATTGTGAGATATTCTCAACGCAGAACCCACCACCCCTCTACCCATATTTTTTTTCCTTTTTTTTCAATTATTAAAAAGTAGAAATACGTATTCATTTTTCAATCTTGTTAGCTACTTTTTTTTTATATGCTGTTCAGGTTGTTTTGTTTCCCTCCCTCCCCCCCCCCCCCTTCAATTTTCGTTATTTCATACTTTAATATATATGATATTTAGTAATCAGTCCAAGGCAAACGTTATCATTATTCGCAGTAATAATAATATACCTATGATTTTCCATAGTTTAATTTTTTTTTAATTTTTTTTTAAACTTATTACCGCACCATATTTTCGAGCTGTTTTGTTCTTCCCACTTCAATGGTTTTTATCTATATATTACTTTCTTCTTTAAAAAATGTATACTTAACATTTAATATAATATATATATCTCTTTAAAATATTTACAGTCAATACTATATTACATCAATAATATTTGTTTTGTTATGTATTAATTTTATCCATATCCACCTCGACCCCGATTTAATGTAATAAATGTAGTATAAAGGCAATTATTAATGTAATTTATCTCTTCATCTTTTAATTGAATATTAATCAATCGTGTCGACATCGTCACCCTTCAATATATCTCTCTATAATTGCTGTAACACGCAGCCTCAAATAATGGAAATAATTCAATGAAACTCTATATCACATCAATCATCAATACCCCCTCGATTCACGATCTCAATTAGTTAAATCTATCTGGACTTGTGCTGTACATATGCAGTTACTCATCTCTACCCGATAAAATCATATATCTGGATAATAATAAACGTATAACTACTGTGGAATAATCGAAAAATAATGTCAATTGTTCCATCTACAAATTGATCGTATCCAAATTACGTGAATTTCTGGAAGTACCATCATTGGGGGATGTTGATGCAACATTGACTGATTTCGTAACATTATTAGCAAATGGCATTGCAAATTTGAAATCTCCACCATTGGGCAATTTTCTCATTATTTTACCGGATGTTATGAGTCTTCCAAAGCCCTCCTGGTGAGCGAAAGCATAACCAGAACGTAGAGATCTTCGTGTACGCCTAGTTGATGGTGTACGAAGTATATCCTGACTCTGTCGTGATCGCATTTGCGCCAACCTCTGTTTCAATCTCACACGATCCGACAGCGTTGGCCTCACATCGATGAAGAAGAACCTCCACGATAATACTGGTATCACCAGGATAATGCACGATATAACTGTTGTGAACCAGAATGTTGCCTCTGACATTGCCATCGTAAGACTGCCAACGTAGCTACCGCCGATGATGAAATTGTAGAAATAATCGAGAATGAAGTACCAGATGAGAGAGCCCCACACCATTATGTGATTCACAATAGTCCAGTAGGAGGTGTCCAGGGCTATTTGAACGGTAACGACTATAACTAGAATTGTGGCCACAACGCTGCCCAGCAACATGTGATCTGAAAGTACGTAACCCTTTGGCGATAGTCCATCCTTGTAAGTTCCTGCAATCAATGCCATTTATTTATATTTTTATTTATATTAATTATTGACTATTACCATTGGCTATTTGGATTATTCTTGGAGGCCCTAATATTATACAATATTACTTACCATAGGGCACTAAAAATAATATGCAGCTCGCCCAAAATCCATGCAATGCACTCCAGCAAAATTCTTTTTTATTGAACAACATATTTTGCAATCCAGGTGTGTACAATTTTGGATAGAGTATACTATTTTTATCATTAACATCCTGATCAAATACACCGACAGCCAATACTGGCAATGACGTGTAAAACAGATTGTACACTGAGATATACATTGGATCAAATACTGTCTGCAATGAAAATGGGAAAATTGATAAGTGATTATTGATAACTGACGTCTTTTCCATTGAATCGACTCGAGAAAAAATCATCAGATTCATTTGAAACTCAAGCCCTTCTCGACTCTGGAATGCGAGACTCAAACAGAGGAGTGTTCGAGGGTCGTATTCGCCTTATAAATCATCATCGTTAAATTGTTGAAATAAATCAATTGATGAATCTGAGTTTATTTGAAGGACTTACCTGTGCGCTGAAACCACAAAAGAAGGCGAACCATATGTGGCAGAGAGTGAAGGCGAAATTTTTGTAAAAAAAGTATCTAAGAAACTTGGACATTCTATAATATGACCATCTTCCATGTACAAACAGTAGTCTCTCTAAAAACCTAAACTGTCCAATGGAGTAATCCGATGCTAATACAGCTTGTAGGCCCTCTTGACCACTTATCCCAACCCCAATGTGTGCTGTTTTTATCATTGATACATCATTAGCACCATCGCCAATAGCCAATGTTACAGCTGATTTATTTTTTTTTATTAATTCAACTACCATGGCCTTTTGGAGGGGTGTTACACGACAGCATATTACTGATTTACCTGCAATTATTTCATTTAAATAATAAGCTATATCAAATTAAAAAATTTAATAATGAATATTTAACTCACATCGACTCGAAACCTCAAGAAATAATTTCTCCATCTGTGGATGAAGAGCATGGACCAGTGAATGACCATTAATAACAATGGCAAATCCTGACGAAGAATCAGGCTCACGCTCCTCCACGTCTTCTCTATTATATTCTGTATCACTGTTCAATACAAGAGAAAAATGGAATTCACCATAAATTTGTTTAACACCACCAGTAGAAAATTTGGTGAAAGCGATTTTCCTTTTTCCCTCTAATAGATTTAACTGTCAATGATGCATCTATTGAACTCATCATACATAAAGTGCCAATTTTTTGTTCATGTACAAAATCTGTATCTATTGCTTTCAATTAATGCGATAAATGTGCCAGAAATTGGTTCACATGTTATTCATATTCTAAATTGGAACAGTTAGGATTAATTATCAAGCATTTAGAAAGAGAAGGAGTGAGTATTCAAGCATCATTATCCATTTTTTTTTCTACAACAAAATAAATGAGAAAAAATAAAATGAAGGAAATAATAAAAATGGGAGATAAAAAAAAATAATAGGGTGGAGGATTCGTCTGTGTAACAGTCTAGGGGGGGCGTATACATTACAATAAATCATCAAGCAATGGTACACGTTTCCATACGAACAAGTAATGAAACATTGATAATTACGGTACGAAACATGGGATATAATTTCCATCGTTCATCAACGAATGATTCTAAATATCCAGGCGAGATAACAGTAACGAGAAAAGCATGACTGGGAGTCACGGTGCTGCATTCAATGTAACGAGTTTTCAAAAAGGGTTAATTCAATAACAAAGTGAAATAATAAATTTAAAAAATAAAAAAAAAAACGAAAAAATTGTATAAATCAATACATGGATAAACAGTGAACAACAGAAGAGAATTAAATATAAAATGATATAAAAAAAATTTAATTGGGTAAAGATTGTACTCCGTCTCTTTCATTTGCCTGACCTTTCTTTGTCCCACCTGAATGTGACGATGGAGAGTGCGGGCCTATTTTGTTGACTAGATGCTGTATTTATTGTTTCTAGATGTCGTTGCAGCTGAGTCTCGACACTATCGTATGTAGTTGCATCGACGATGAATACATCGGTTAGCTCGTCAGTCAGCAATTGACACGAGTAGCCAATATTTATAGCCGTTTCTAAATGAAGAGTATTAATTTAGCAATTTTTCAAAATAATCATGGAAAACTGGAAAAAGATGAGGAAGACAAAAAAAAAAATGAGAAATCACCTTGTTTGTCACCGGTGAGTACCCATAATTTAATGCCAGCTAGGCTCAAATTAGCAATAGTCTGTGGTACTCCGTCCTGAAGTTTATCCTCAATGGCAGTGGCCCCAAGTAACGTCATATCCTTCTCAATCTCCTCGTAAATAGCATCGAGCCTATCGTCCTTGTCTTCACCACTTAGAACAGCGTCCATGTGCCTCTGCTTCCAGTCATTGAAGAAACTTTCCTCAAGATCTTTGACAGAGAGACACAGCGTTCTCAACCCCTCACCAGCAAATTTGTTGAGATGCTCCTGGGTCTTCTGCATTATATCCTCACTGCCCTCCTTGAGCCTCTCGTATATAACGTTGTCTGCACCCTTGCAGTACAACCGAAGATGGCCATTTCTCCTCAAGATCACAGACATGCGTTTTCGGACGTTATTGAAATCGAGAATGCAGAGGACCTCGTATACCTCTCGTTTTCCCATTACTTCAATTGTTATACTGTTTGGAGATCTTTCTCTGAAGATGAAACCAAAGTTTCTAGCTGCTGAAACGAGTGCAGCTTCGTCGGGGGATTGCGCCTGGTACTCGAGTCTACCGTTCTTCTCGTCGGACATTACCGTGTGACAGAGTGCCAGCAGCCGAAAGAACATGTGCACCTCAGGGTCTTCCTTCTTCACAGCCTCCAGCAGACCTGGATCGTAGAACTTGAACTCCGGCTCGTAATCCTTGTTGAAAGAAAAATCCAGGGGTGGAACAGTCTGCGAACAATCAGTCACTTTCACATCTTCAACATTGTAAACTATTTATAATTAGTACAGCCAGCTAGTTAATCCGATTATGATGCAATACGAATCTGTAATTCATTGTTAGTAATGTGGAACATCCAATCTGTAATCGAGAATATCTTTGGGTATAGTGGGTGCATCCGAACGATAAAAGCAGAAAGAAATAGAAGAGGATTTATATGAACTAAACAAAAAAAGCATGCGTACTGAGGGTGTTTGTGTAATTTTTGCTCTGCCGTTGATATCGGGCTCGGGTGTCGAATTTCCCATGCGATCTGCCTGCTCCAGTAGTCGAGCATTTGCACTGCTAATTGGTGGGTGCACGTTCCGAACAAACTCCTGGCCATTTTTCCATTTCACCGTTGCCGACGATTTGTTCATTTTATCCGTCTACATGCAGCATACACATGCTGTATAATGTGCACGAAAATGTGGCTTTTTTCGGACGGGGGGGAGGGGGGTTGATTTAGGGGGGCGTGTATTGAAAATATTGCAGGCGAAGGGGACAATCAATTCAAATTTCAAGACAGTGGCCATAAATCCTGGGTATATCAATATCATTGGTAAAAAAAAAAAAAAAAAAAAAACAAAACAAAAATAATAATGACAAAGAGGAGAGAAAATTGACGGACAAAAAAAAAAGGTTTGTTGACGTGAGGAGGAAAAGAAAGAAAATAATATGATGGTGATTTTTCTCTCACCTCACTCAAGTCAATGATTTCACCAGTGACATCATCGACCAAATCGCCATAACTTCTCCCTGCCACAGAGCACTTATTGAAGGTCATAATGTTCTGGGTGAGAGTGCCAGTTTTGTCGGAGAATATGTATTCAATCTGTCCTAACTCTTCATTAAGTGTCGTTGTCCTCGCCCTGGCGTGTGTATTTGTTGGTGCATGATACATCTCTTCGTCCCAATTAATAAGAAATGATTGTACAAATCTTATGACCTCGACACTGACGTACAAACTTATTGGCACAACTGTATTTAATACAATTGAATATGAAAAAAAAACAAGTAGAGCTGTAACAGTTGCACCACCAAGTGGATCAGTTGGCACTAGCGAGTCCCATGGTAAATAAACTTGAAAATAACGTCCAACGAGACTCTCCCAAATTCCACAGCCAATCATGCAGAATAAGCACAGCGAGAGTAGAAAGAATACAATTCCAATAATGAGAAGATTCAATAGTCTATCTATACACGTCCTCTTGAATTTTGTCTTCCCTGAGTTTTGCATCAGTTTTGTATCTTTGCCAGCAAAGATCACTACACCGTAGCACCATTGTGTATTTCTCAATACACATCCCCTCAGTATTATTTTATCGTTGTCTAATGCATACCTGTAATTTTATTCATCACCATTAAGGTCGTTAATGATTTATCAATGGTCATTTAATGATCGACCTATCAAACTCACCTATTTCCCTTCCACATTAATATACCATCGAATTTATTCAACAGATTATTTGGAGTTTCACAGACTATTTCACCGTCAAATTCCCCTATAAGTTCGTTGTTATCCATCATTTCAGCTGTCTCAGCTAGACATTGACGACACTTCAAATTCGTTTCTCTGGAAATGAATTTGACAGTAATAATTGTCAGGCACATAGATAGAATGAGTCATAGGCCTAGTGGAATAGGTAAATAGATGAATGAGGAGTTTTACCCATCCAACTCTGCAGTCTCGATGTAACAAAGGCCATTGGGTTCACTTGTGGAGAGTAGAAGAACATCGGCAGCAACAAATTGATCATTCTCCATTCTAATTACATCGCCAACTTGTACCTGCGACCATTTTTCCACTTTTAAATTTTTTCCACGCAGTGTCTGGGACTTTCTGTTGTTCACTTGGGAATCGCTGCTGTGTCGTTGCTGAAATAATCACAAATTTATTCATAAAATTAATAATTTTTATCTCGTTATTACTTACAAAATCATCATAGGCATCTTTGACGGCAGTGAGTGTGAGGACCCCAATTAATGGTATGGCTGTTGTGATTGGGGTAAGCGAAGATATGGCGGGTATCATTTGAAGCACCAGCAGACATAGGAAGTAGAAATTAGCTAGACGTTGAAATTGTTCAAACAAATTCAGAGGCAGGAACGTCAAAACCGTGTACTTGGACGTTTTGATGTAATTGTTCTGGAATTAGAGCATTTACCCATTAACAGATATCATTGCCTCATCATTATTATCAAAAACTCAATATATATATATAGAGTAGTAGTAGAGACTCACTGCATATTTAAACTGTGAATTGTACTCGCGGTTATTAGCACGAATTCGCCTTTCCGTTTCTGCAATGAAATTGTCACAATATGAAATATTAAATGGATAATTGATTGAGTACATCAAGTGTAGATCATCAATATCAATACTCAATGGTTAGGGTGATCAAACTCACCGCTGGAAAAAAAAACTGTACTGCGACCAATGCACTCAGTGGCAAGAGGAGAATTTGGGGGTATTGTTGATGTCGTTGGTGTGGGACGATATCTAGCACCTTTCCAAACAACCAATTTACCAAGTACAGTTAATAGAGACTGTCGTAATGTAGTATGACGATTGCTAGGTCCACCTAGGCTACTAGATGAATCTCTCTTTGAGCATTCACCAGTGTGTTCAACGGCACTCGATGATGATGGAAAATTAACCACAACGTGACTAGAAGGTGAACGCTCATCTCTACTACGTTTTTTACGGCGTTTACGTTTTTTTCCTTTGTCACTTGACAATTTAATCTCCAACTTCTTAGCCAATTTTGATGAATGCTTTTTATCAATACTTCTGGATGATTTAGCCTCATTTATATCGTCATCTCCGTCTTGCACCTCGAAGACCTCGAGTTCCAATGTGTCCGTTTCAACGCTCATCTCTCGTAGACGATCTTACTGTGACTAGTGCCAACACCACGACCTTGATGACACCATTCCCGTAACCAACGAGACGGTTTTTCTCTTTCCCTCTCATTACATATTTATCACCATGTCCTGTGTCACATGACATATCGTTCAAATAACAGCATATCACCACTTTATTTTGCTGTTGATCGATTGTTCGCCGATATTAAACCATTTATTATTCTTCATTTGGCTGTCAGGTGTGTTTACGGTGTACTGATTGCCCTGTCGAGACATTTTTCCTTCCTCACTAACATCAAATCGAATTTATTCGATACTGGAACACAAGATCATTAGATATTCCGGTTTATCCCTCGCTGTCAGTCTAATCTAAGTCTTCCAAAGTTTTTCATTCTCAACATTTTACCAAAGTTATTTGTCTCCGAAATTCTACAAGGGTGAGGAATAAGTAAATGATATTTTCCCTGCTACCATTAGTAATTGAATACGCTAATATAATTTTTAGGCAATTTCTTGGGAGCAGTAACAGCTTCACTTGAAAATTGAAGAGATTGTTATGTAAAGACACCAGTGGTAGCCAAGTTTTTCAATGAATTTGAAGTGCCTCCTGGGTTTTTGGAATAATCAACAATTAGTCGTGACCTTGGTCATCCAGAGTCAGTAAAATAAGTTATGAATTGAAATGGATTTAACAGTGAGAATTCCCTGGATCTGTTCGATTAATTATCATCGTAATGAATCATTCTCTCCTGAAATACGGACTCCACTGGCCTTGAACTTATTCGCAGTGAAGTGTAAGTCGGGAAGAATCTTCGGCCTTCCCAGCCACTCCAAAACCAAAATAATGCTCGATATAAATAATACAAGATGCGCGGTATTCTGAGGAAATCCACTGCATAAACATGTTGGCGGAAATGTTCTAATCGTACATGATATTCAAAACTCACAATTAAAATCCGATTGCACGCGATAATTCTATTGCATTTTTATTTATCTCGTAGTATTATTTTGAGAAAAACATTCACCACTCTGCAATACGATTTGCCAACGTTTATTGGCACAAGTTTATTGTATAAGTGCCTCGGGGATAACTAAAAATTATCACTCTAATATTTGAATGAATTATTAAAAATGAAAATCAATTGAAAAAAATAATATAATAAATTTTTGGGCTTGACCTGCTTTTGTAAACTAATATCACATCCAGAATATCTCCAAATGAATAATAAATTCTCCCAATGGAATTAATTAGAAATCGATAAACAGGTCAAGTATGCGTGTGGGGTTTAATCGAATTTTCTCACCTGCAGGTATTAACGGGTAAGATTGAAATAATTTGTCCATCGTGGAGTAAAATCACAACAATGACGACCTTCACCGGATGAAAATTGAAATTTTCCGGTGAAATAGTTGATAAAAAGAAAATAAATATTATGACTGAATTAATATAATTGAAGGAGATAATGACAATGTGACACGCGCGTACTCTCTAGAAAAACGCCCTATCTCTGGCTTTCTTTTTCAATTATTACCCTTGGACAAATGTACATAGTAATAGTTAACCCCATTGTCGCGTCAAGGGGGGTTCCTGGCGACCTCATTCCTACATCCACGCACAACTCCACCGCGAGTCACGTAACGATCGTAACACGTTTGGGAAATTTCGTGGAAATCAACAGAATTAATGAGATTAATAATTACTTCCTCTATTCACTCATGCAGAGTTTTGGTAACTCAGCGTGCGCAGTTTCCCTGGTTGGTGGAATAATAAGTGCTGAACTGAGAGAAATAAAAAACACACATACACATACACATACACACACTCGCACACAAGCAATAAAAACCGTGATAACCTATCCCCCCCCCCCCTCTTCTAACCAAAGGGCTATGAAAATAGAGGAAAAATAAATATGGGAAATGATGGCGCAAGTTTAGTGAATTATCCAGCTTTTTAATGCTCACATTACTTATTTCATGTAAACATTCAAGGAATTTTACTATGGCGATCGATTGACCGATGATTGTATTGCTGTAGCTCTCAACACTCTGCGCACATTTTTAACTCCACCAGTACCTCGAACTTTGGAAAACTTAGAAGACTTTTACCATAAATCATAATCAATCGAGTTTGATGATTTATATGGATTTTTCATGTGCAACTAACGGTGTACTGATGTTTCTTCATGTTATTTCGCAATCCGCCAGAACCTATCGGTATTTGATGTCCTCGAGGAGATTGGATTATTCACTTTGTTTATTGGCTTTAGCGAGTTGATTATTAACGAACTCGACGTTGAGAATAGCTCGAGCCGTCAGCGATAACAGTGTTCTTGTATCTTGATGATAATGGGGATGTGAAAAATATGAGTCCACCACTTGCACCACTGGTGGATAAGACTGAGAGATGAACTGCACCCCTTAGCACCCCAACGGGACAGTCTCTTTTCCTCTTGAATGGCCGATCGAATGCTGCACTTATCACTGGAGATATTTTGTGGGTGGTGAGTACTTCCCTCTGCACACACTGAGCGCATTAGCCGCCGGAGAGCTTTCACCGGGTTGACAGGTGGCGCCAGGAAAAAATACCCGGGAATTGTTTAAAAATCAAGCTTGCAACAGCTATTCACCGGAATATTTTCAATCGATTTATCGAGTATTGATGATCTGATAGTTGAAAAAACAAAAACAAAAATGACTCACCGTTGACGGGACTTGTTGCAGCGCTTCGTGACATTTTATTTTGTCAACTCCTGGAGGAGACTCTCTGTTGGTGCTAATTGGACGGATAATGGCAACGGACAAGTCCTGCTGCGATAGACTCGTATCGAGTGATTGTCTCAGATCATCGGGAGTCGATTGATAATTTTCATCGGAGAATTTTCGTCTGGAGGAGCCGAATGTACCACCGCGAGCAGTATCGTCGGGTTGGGGATTGCTCAGCAGGTGATTTTGGGATTGTAATGGGTAGAGTGGGAGTAGGTAGAAAAGGGGATTGAGGCACGTTGGTGATGCCGTTGGATGGCGACGATTTATCGATGGTAGAATTGATGAAATAATAAATAACAGGTGGGATAATAGACGAGTGAGGGGTGGACTGGTCAGGTTGGTGAGTCGGTTGTGAAATAATAGGGTATCAAAGGGGATAAGGTCAGGTTTGGTGGTTGGTGGTACGGGTGCTCTGGGCTCGGCGTCCATGTGGGGTCACTGGTCACCGGCGCCCGTTTATCACTCATGCACGACGCCACGGCCGTTATCCAAGTCCAATCCACGCTTTTTTATCACTATTTGTAATTCGTATTTTCGTAATTTCATTCAATGGAGAACTTGCACGGCCCCTGGAACAGCGGAAATTATTTTAAATTATTTACCCTTTTCTTTTGTAGAGTGCTAGGGAGCATTCATTCAAATGGGCATTATCTTCAAGTTTAGACTTCCTGGATTTTTCTTTTCTTCCTGGGCGTAGGCATAATTTTTTTTTTCCACGTATCACAGAGATTAATGGTCAATAGAAATTTTTTTAGAGGTGAGGGAATAATTGAATAGTACTTTTCCGGGTAGCGATAAAGCATGTAAAAGAGACGTGTAAAAAGCAACCATACCAAGGACACGTCTATAGATGGGTGACATGAAGAGGGTGGATATGGTGACCGTGGTGAATCACGTGCGATCGTGGTCGATCAGGATGGTTGGGGGGGCGGAGGATGACTTGAGCAACTAACTTGGAGGGACAGCGATAATTCTCGGTGCATATTTTCACATTATAAATTCAGCTATCCTCGACTCGATTCACTAAAGTTTTATCGTAAACCGATGACGTGGGCTAAAAAGCAACACCCGACCCTGAGCATTTCGTCTCATTAATCTTTTCTTTCGCGGGCAACACGTTAAATTGCCTGTTCCATCAATTCTAAAGGCTCGTGGATTTTTGTCCCTGCAGTTATCACATTTTTAACGGATTTTTCATCGATCTGGCATTTGATTAATATTGAGTCCTGGGGTTTAACGTTTGACGTCGCGTGTCCGTTGGTTTTTATCCTCTTGCTGTGAATTGTTTTTTTACTTTAGTTGCAATTACATTACGGGAGTGGAACTCCATGGAGAAGAAAAATTTTTTAAAAATATTTATACTCAAAAATTTCTGAAGAAAAGGACTTCATGTACCGCGAGAAAAATTGAATAAAAATGAAGGAAATTTTTTTTTACGAGTGAATATTAAATTAACTGAACCCACCATGGGGGTGATAAATTTATTTTTCATCCGGGGTATAATGCGTGGTTTCTCAATTGCAAACGTTTCCCAGCATTCACCGCAAATTTCGAGGTCGAATTGTTGGAACAAGAGTGGAAACATTCGGTGTTTGATATTCCAAAGGTTAAAAATAAAGGGGTAAATTATTGCGCGCATTTCATCCGCGATTTTACGATGAGCATGGCATTTTGCGACGTTAAACAAGACTCGGGTGTGCAACTGGATGACTGAAGAATCGTGTGAGAGAAAGTGAAAACCTCAGAGGTGTCAATCGGTTTAATTTTTGTCTTTTCCATCAGCAATTCGTGTTCATTGTCACTATTCTGATTGAATCTTTAGTAGCACATGCTAGCCGATCCAATGACAGTAATCGTGCAGTAACACGCGGACTTATTTTCCACCCTATGTTCCACCGAAAATACAAAAAATAACTTGTGTTATGAATTCCATTACCACTTGTCAAATGCGACCTTCGTGACTTTTTTTTCACTTCACGTAAACGATCAATGAGCAATGAATTGCAGGTTTACACCCGTGAATGTACGTCTGATAACACGAGTGAAGAGTTTATTTAATTCAGAAAATTAAAGAAAAAAAAATACATGTGTAATGTTTTTGTTTTTTTACTCCAACTCGAGAATTACTTGATCGTTAGACTCGTTTGATTATGCAACTATCGACCTACAATAGTTAGACTGAATTCAATGGGGGAATAGTCAACACATGAAATTCTTTATGATTTCGTAAGGTTCTATTTATGTGGCATGTGTTTTGAAAATTCTGTAATCGATTGGGGAATTTCTCTTTTTTGCCCTCGAGTCATTTGACTGGAGTACTCGTGGCGTTAAGGGGCTCGCGACATGCAACAAGCCGGTGTCTGTCCATCTACGGATTTATGGAGTAAAATGGGATTATTCAAAAGAATTTCATTCCTCGATTCATATAGCGCCAATTCATCTCACCCTTTGATTACCAAATAATTGAACAGAAAATGCAAAAAAAAAAAACAAAAAACAAAACAAAAAAAAATGGGAAAGTGAAAATTGTCACCTGTTACCCCACAAAATTTTCATAATAACTCCAGTTTTCCATCATATTAATTAAACCGTCATTGCCATAACCCGACGGAGCAATTCACTCGAGTGATGCACTTGATATATATTTATTTCTACCACTGTCACAATTTATCACGAACTGTGCAATTGTTGGGGGTCAATTAATGAGCATATGAATTGAAGTGCTCGTTATGGAGGCACTGAGATGGTGAATTTAAAAAAAAAAAATTGGTATTTAACTAGGCACATGGATAGGTCCGTCTCGTAGGGCGCGTCGTCCACGACTGACGGGGAGAAATCAGATGACTTGGTCGCGAGCACTCGTCGTAATACCGCGCATTCGGAAAAACCTTGGTGGTCTAAATGTTACAGATGATTGATTTGCTATTATATTATTTTAATGGGGCGGGGATTACGGGATAAGTCCATTCATGGGCCACCAAGGGGTGGCCATTTATCGCGGATATATTTTTCCAGAGGGCACCAAGCGCCGTAATTTAAAATTTTATCATTTTATTTATTTACTAATAGATGTTGAATGAAAAATGGGGATGCTGGCGAGATTTAACGGATTCATCGTCGAATCATTGAGCTCCACTAGTCAATAATTCTTCTTGATGATTCCTGATATCGCTGTTATCGTGTGCACAATGATCCAGCAGTTATGTTTTACAAAACTCTGGAGGTGAGCCAACGGTGGGGAGAGAAAAATTTCAATTGGAGATAAAATCATGGCAACGACCGAAGACGAGGTGAGCTATAAATCAATTCGTGTCGTGGATTATGTGTTCACGGACTGTCATACACTCTCAGAACATATAAAATTATCGCGTATACATTAAAAATCAGGGGTACATGATTTTTAACCGCATTCCATTCTTCCACTGCCAAACAATTTCACAAGATGAATTGTATTTAAAATTAATTGATAAGATTTTGAAATGAACGTGACGAGATGGTCAATACTCATATCACTTATCGTAATTAAATTCATCACAGAAGCAGATGTCACCCAATTTTGACAATGAAAAAAAATCCCTTATCATTTTGCAATGAAAACTCCACAAAAAAAATTATCATAATCGTATCAAACATTTCTCCAAAAAAATAATCAATTGAGTTCAATAATAGAGAGCCGCGTCATCTTAAATAATCAATCGATAACATTGGCGAGTTATCAATCGATTCCATAATATCGGGGACATCGTCCAATTATTTTCTTTCCCTATTTGAGAGGGAAAAAAAAATGGGAATGTTGTAAAAGGGCCGCCTATTGCATTTTTTTTCTCCATAGGGGGGAGTGGTTTGGGTACAAAGGCGACACACTGGGTCCAATAATACCTTTGACTGCGCCCTCAATTAAACCAGAGTCTATATACACAGATGTAAAAAAGAAAAAAAAATAAAAATCAACAATAAACATTAGCGTGACTGAGCCTTGAGGCTAATCTTTCACCTGCATTTTTTCTTTTCTTTTCTTCATCAATCGGCGAAAATCCCGATTGCTTTGCGAAAAAAGTCCAGTGACATATTATAAATAAAACATTGACCGAGAAACTAGTTCATTCAACCTGATGAATATTCTCCTCATCTGTTGGACATCATCCCCGCCTCACCTTATCACGATTTTAATGACTCAATTGACCTTTCTCTCCAGTTCAATTCTTCATTTGCATGAGATTAATTTGCGCCTCTCCTTTTTATCTCCCCCGAGGATTTCCCATAAAATATTAACGCGCGTACCGTTGACACAGTTACGTTCTGTCATCGAGTATTGTATTTTAAAATATTAACCAAGGTCGCGAGAAAATTTTAGTTTACAATGGTTTCTGGTTTGTTCGTTAGTCTCATTACCGACACTCGTTTGTAATGCCACGTGCCCTCAGGGGAGTGGACACCCTCTCCTTCGAAAGACATTAACATTAACATTCCCGAGCCAAGTGTTAGTTAATTCTTGATGAACTCCAAATCCACGTTTATAAATTCTTCATTACTCAATTTTCGTGAACTTATGAAGGTGTTGCGTGTGGCTTGTGACACAAATCGATTCTCAAGTCGACGATATAACACGTTCAATATCACGGAAATGGCTATGGACTGGCCCGCCAGGGTTAAGCCCGAGGATCAATCCAAAGTCTTTAAGTTTTCGTTTTACTTTTCGTTGTAAACGAATTTACCTCAATTAAATATTATTTTTTTCAAATAATTTTTACTGAATATTTAAATTTTCTACATCAATTGTTGTAATTTTTATTGAATATTTCCCTCTGTTTCCCTCTCAAGTTGAAAAAAAATAATCTCTGAAAATGGGGAAGGGCTATTATGGGGTGACTATTAATACTGTCTGTTCGACCTCTTTGCACAGATATTTTCAAGAAAGAAAAATGGTTTTAGATGGTGGAAAGGTAGGGCCGGAGTGCGGGTGTGGTATCGCTATTATATCATTAGATTTACCTCCGGCTTGGTTCAATCCATTGAGTGGTTGTGATATGGTCTAATCCATTGGGTCAGGCAATTTATCCATGGCAATTTATCGTATTGATGAATTTTTCAATGGTCAACTGGCATTTCTCATGTCACGGACCATTATTCTCACCATACTCCGAGTATAATTTTTTCTGCTGATTTTCTGATGGTGACAGCAGTGATGGAGCATTCGTGTGGCCACTTCAATTTAATTCAATAGATTGCCGATGTTATTGATTTTATTGAGCTGCAGATGAATTAATTTTCCTATTCTATTTTAATTATATTGACATAGTGTCGGCGTTGAGTTTGCGATAAAAATCCAGCGCTTGTTGCAAATTTTATCGCAACTTTGAGCCGGAAAACCGCAGGCGTTAAAATCCGTCGCGTTAAAGATATGAAATGACTGTTGGGCAATTTTACGACTTAATTTAGAAATATTTCCCTGAGGGGGAATACGCTCATGTGATGAATCTTCTTTTGTTCGATATATTTTTGATATTAACACGAAAAGAGGACCCCTTATGACAAGAAATAACAAAGTACTTGAGCTATTTATGACCTGAAAAACATGCTAATAAAACTAATTTCCGTTTCCAAACAATTTCTCTTTAATTTATGAGAAAAATCGATGAGATATTATCGATGTGAGAGGTCGTGGCACACCTAAAATTCAGATAATTCTTCGAAGCGCTCTTTGAACGTGATAAAAGCGTACAACATTGAGAAGGAACCGAAAAATTCTGACGGCTAATTGGATGATAAGATACGAGAGCTACTGATAAAATGATTTTCAGTTTTAATGCCAATTAATGTGAATAAAAATTCACAGAAACTAAATCAATCATCTGTTTCACTCGTAATGACCAGCTAATGACTAATGAGCGTGTTAATCATTATCGATTTTGCCTGTTTAAATAGATGAAGAGGATCTAGGTCTCTTCATAATGTGGGAACCATCTATGTTTTTTTCCATTAAATGGGCCAACAAGATTGAATAACCGTTAATGGTCAACGGAAGGGTGCGACGACGTGTTTACATGACATGTATTGCAATAAGTAGATAAGGTGATAAGAAATCAGAAAAAAAAAATTTTCGCAAGTATTATTACCTGGAGAAAAAATATTTCCCTGTTGATTAATTTTTTTCTTCCCAACTGCCAAATTAAAACGGGAACAATTTTCTCTCATGATTATCTGCAAATGAAATTAAACTCCGCGATAATCACTAAACAACTGTTTAACCACTCGATTGCATTACCGAATGGGTAATTGCTCTTCAGTGTAAACCCGCAATTTCGTTCGATTGAAACAATACATGTCTCAAAACCTGTCATCCGTCTAGGGTCTATATTAATTAGACTGAGTTTACGTATCATCAGAGTTCTCATGTCCTTCGATGGCCAGTCAACACCTGGACTTTCGCCCGGTCAACGTTAATTTTTTAAAACTCCCAGGTTCGGGCGGCCTCGCTCCTCGTTAATACTACATTTCCCTGAACTTTTTCCTATTCAAAAATAACTAGTGCAATTGCTTCCTCATAACGAGAAAACTTTCCATTTGAAAATGCATTTACCTCGTTTGACGGAACGTCCGGACAAGAGTGGATAATTAATTTGGTATTTGTTGATCAATGATACGAGTCCACTCCTACAGCTCTGAATTTTTTATTTTTTTTCTCATTATTATTTCACAGAAAGTGTATACGATATTGATGAGAGCCTTAACAGAGAAAGCCAAATGCTGACCTTTTCAAAACGTCAAGTAAGCTGTAGTTGTAGTCTAGGAGGTATCGAACTATTTCCACATTATTGTTCTTTCATCGAGTAGCGGCTCATTAGCAGTGGTTTGAGCATAAATTTATAAATTTTCTCAAGGCGACATTAATTACGAAAGACTAAAGGTCGAATGGAATTTGAAAAACAAAGTTAATTCTCAGAATTAAACAGAAAAATCATCAATGTCAGTGCCAACTCCCCAAATGAATAATTTGAAATTGGAAAAAAGTTGCGTGAATGTCACTTAACTACCAGCTACACAAGTCACTTAACATACCTCAAGGATAGACAATAACAGCATTATTTACATTCAATATGAGCCGGAAAATAAATGAAAGATTGGAGCAATCTGCGCGTCATGGAATGATAGAATCCTTCCTTAAACATCGAGATAAATGACATTACATAATTTGTGGATTGGGGCTGCTGGGCAGAGAGAAGAGTGGGTAAAAACATCTGCCATTGACGTTGCTAAATCCTCGTAATTATAGCTGTTAAATTAATGACTATTGTGAAAAAAGTCAATAATACCAGGAAATTACGGAGCATCGAAAGTGCAACGTTCACGTGTCTCCGGGTAATTGAAAATCATTCGATCGTCCTCATCGCGATCTCTTGCGACGTCAACGAGAGAAAAATGGAAACGATGGAAACCTGTTGCTCACATGTCGGTGGAAGATGCCAGAGATCATGAAACGTGCCCTCATGGGGGGCATTATATCGCCAATCGTGACGTTATCCATATACAAATTAAAAGGATCGATGAATCATTTGTTTCCATTTCGTCCAACTTTTCATACCCTCAACAATTCAAACAGAAAAAAAAAAAAAAACAAAAAAAACACTGGTTCGAAGCAGTTCGAAGTAGTAAAATGTCGAGCAAGTAGTAAAGTAGTGAGTCCGATGAGACAGAAAAACGGGCGCAAATTCATCAATCGCTAAATCACCAAACGAGCAAATTATCGTTAGATCTCTATCGATCTGTGAGCAACGATTAATACCTCCAATGCTTTTTTAGCATACTAGATAGCTGGGGGATTAGTTATTAAGATTTAATAGTAAATAGATTGGAGATACTTACGATCGATTCGTCAAGTGATTCTGCTATGAAAAATCGAGTGATTTTGATGAGTCGCGTGAGGCGACATAACCCGCGAACAAAAATCTTTCAGCCATATTGTTTACGGATAGCGAAAGGTGTACGTGTTAGTGAGAGTAATGAGTGACGAGGGTGGAGAGGAGCGGGCAAGTACAATTGCACTCAACGATCACAGAGGTAACATTTCACAACGGGAGGAAAAATACGGAGTAAAGTTGAATGGCTATTGTGCTGCTTTCGACGACTATTCAGGCAAACTGCAGTTCTAGGGGATCGAGGGAATCCAACAACTCGCCAATGGTCTCCTCATAGGGATTTCTAGGGGAGAGTTATTTAAATATTCTGTAATATAAAAATATTCTTCTATTTTTTAATCCAAATATGCTCTTCTTTTTTTGGATGTGTAATTTCATTGAAAATATTTTTTTCTTATTTTTCTCAAAACGATTCCACCATTTACCATTCAATTCTATTCTTTTTCTTTTTTTTTTTTTTTTTTTACTCACCACCTAGCATAAAAATCTCATAAGACAAGTGGAAATTGTTGCTAGAATAAATTACATTCTGAAATGTACGGTTTTTTTTTTCTTGGAATTTGTTATTTATTTCACACTCTACATCATACAAATCCCTAATATTTACTTTCAGTGCATGAATTATTGAGTAATAAAGGTGAGAAAATATATGTACAAGGAATCTTAAATAATTCAAGGCAATTAATCAACAGTTATTCCAATAAATACTAGAAAATAAAAATAATTTTACTCTGGAAGATTGTTGTGCAAAAGGAATGAAAATTAAAGAAAAAAAAAAAAAAAAAAAAAAACCAGCACACGACGTTCTGTCGTTAAATAATGAAGAACTAATGATGGAGATTTTATCACAGATACAGTCGGGCTCTGCAGTTAATTCACATTAGATAGTACCTACAGAAACGGTATTGCATTCAGACTGAAAAGGACCCTGAATGGAATTTATCCTATATTGCTCTCAGAAAAAATTAATATCGAAAAATAAATCTTCCTTTTCTCTTACAAGTGATAATAATGGTCGTTCGAGTGTAAACGTTCGATTATCAAAAAATAGAGAAAGATTAGAGGGTACAGTATCGAACAGGAGAATTCGATGGAATCCATTAATTTTCCTCGAGAAAATAAAAATCAGGGGATCTTTATTAATCCACGTGATACTAAATGCCCCAACCAACAGTGCTAATCACTCCTTGCACGACTATTACCTAAATTACTTCCTAAATAACAATGTGATGTGGATACACTGGTGTCTGGAATAGTTTACTACGCTCTAGTATTCTGAATTGGGCTATCTCATCATCTGTCGATATCTCTCTAGCTCGAATATGCTCTCAGATAGTCTGAAAAAAAAAAAAAATGAAAATATATCAACTAATACATCAAAGACAAGATCAAAATCATTCTATCACTCTCAATCATTAATCCATTTACCTCCCAAAGGCATTAATTAGAGCGACAATTTCACTTCTCTCCAAATAAAATTGCTTTCTGCTGATATTATTCATACTGGTCTCCCACTGATCGAATTTACCCGAGAACAAGATCTTCAGGGCAGTTCCCAATCCGTGAATCTGCAATTTTCCCCATAACTTGCATTTATCACACCCCACACAGTCCATTATTCTTGAGATATTCCTGAAGTGCTGTCTGAATTCCTCTTTTAATGTCGCTGCCTCTGAACCACCATTGAACATGCAACTCTCGTTATAATGATCTGGAAAAGATCTTACGATCTGCAACATATCCTTCACAGCACTCCTGGTCTCTTCGTCAGCGGCATCATCGCCAGTGTAATACTCTTCTTTCTCCAGATAAGGTGAAGCCTTGTCAAGAGCTCTCAGCTCCAGAAGATATATGAAATAAAGATTCTTAAGCCAATTGGGGCCCTCGTCCCCAGTCCACTCTGGAGAGAATCGTTTCTGGAATTCCTCGAGATTGGGACCCCACTCTGTGGGCCCAGAGACTAGACTGAGGGTCTGATCCTGATGGGACAGCAAATACTTTGAACACAAGTGGATATTTATGCTGGCATGGAGTCCTGAAACTACTCTGTAAAAGGCTCGTTTCTCCAGACACATTCCGTTCATCTGTGAGGAGTGGATAAAATTCTGGGGACCCATATCAGGCCTGAAGCAGTTCTCCATGTAGATTGACCTCCATATTCTGTGTGCACTGGGTCCCTTGTAGCCTGTGAATTTCTCAGGATTGAGCAATAGATCAACGTACTCTCCAGGAGTCGTCTCCCTGACACAGAAGTTGTCCTGGGCGTCGTCGTGCTGCTGCCACCTCTCGAATTCCTTGTAATTCTCGGAGCTGATGGTTGTATTGAGGTAGCCCAACTCTCGATTATGATCCTTGGCTGTTTGCTCGCAATTTATCAGCTGATTCTCAGCTAGATACTTGTCAAAAGGTGCTTCTGTCTTGTGGAGATGCCTGGGGATTTCCCCCTTAAGCCCTATGGGGATATCCTTCTGAAGGATCGATAGAGATTATAACATATGGAAGGGAATTTATGCTGTAGTGATGAAAAAATAATAATTAAATGGACTTACGTCGTGGCAGGGCAGTACATGACAGTGTCTGAAGGCACATTTACTGTCATCCGCCCAAAATGGACAGGGATTCATGAGATTCACCTTGTAGAATCTGAAGTAGTCTCTCACCAGGAGACTCTGAAGCCGAGGATGGATCCTCACGTTGTTGAAGTAATCAACAGTATCGACGTTGCATGTGCAATCATCGATCGATCCCTTCAGCTGAAAGACAATGAACATTGAACATTGAGTGACATTGAACTTGTCCTCATTTTTGTTGACATGATCTGGAGGTTATGTCCGTAAAAATAAAAAAAAAACTGGAACAAATGGAAGGCACCATAATGTCAATAATCATACCTTGCAGAAGCACTGGTCATTCACCTCGCTGTTGCTTCGAAAATAATTGCTCGATGTCAGAGTTAGTCCACACAAAAGCATAAATATTATGCTCGACATCTTGATCACTGTTTGGGTCATTTGGATGGAGGCAATTACTTATATTGACTCAATCCCACATTGATAATCTCTCGATTGTCGTGAACGTGGCAAGTGTGACTTTACGAGTAATATTAGAATTCAAGGTCCCTCGTTTTTTTATTTTCTTTGTCTTGTGTGATACAGCTGATAGGCGGTATCAGCTGGTATTCATGAGGAAACACAATCGTTATTGCAAACACACGATGTGACGTCTTTGCAGGAACTTTCAGAGCCACTAGATTCAGTCTGGATGAACCTACGGGTATAAACTGAAGTGCGTGGGCAACTGAATTTTTTTGGCATTGGAGAAATCCATCCCCACCATCGCCAAAGAGAGTGCGTGCGCTATCCTAGGTCCGCGCTACGTGGAAGATAATTTATGGTTTACGTGGTCCAGTCTTTTATTCAATAAAAATTTATATCAATTAATTATCTCGATTGGGGAATGAAAAGTGGAGGAAAATTTTTTTTTTTATCAAATTTTTACATCAGCCAACGTCTGATTTCGCATATATTCGACTCGCAGATGATAATAAAAACGCCAGGAATGGAGATAATATGGGGATTATTTATTTTTTTAAGGTTCTTGATTGAATAATAAAATTGACGTATTGAATTCTATTTACAAATCAATCTGAGACAGTAGAAGTTTCTGTAATATTCATTGAAAAATTTTACTCATTCATTTCAATTGCTGAATCACAACAATTCCCCGCACATTTTTCTCGGGTCCTCTGGTATAATTGCAGCGAATTTCTCTTTAAATTTTTCCAGTGGACATAAAAAACCGTTGCAACCGGAAATGTACAGCGGCTCAATATAAGAATGTCGTTTATACAGGGCCTGCAGAAAATGAGAACACATTACAAATTGCTAATTTCAATTAATGTTTCCAGTAATTGAGACAATAATAATGCACCTTGACGAAATATTTGGCATTGACGTGATGCAGCTCGAGTATTACAGCACTGTTGTAAGGTGGAACATGAGGTTCATCGAAACTTCCCATGGCGACGAGTAAATCTCCGACATTCTGATCGTGTCCTGACCAGAATAATGCCTTTCTCCTGGGGGTTCTACCGGACACAAACTGCTCGATGTTCTCCAGCCACATTTTTAGCCAAACACCTTGTATTATATTTAAAATTAATAATTCCCTATTGGCATTTTTAAGTAGTTAATTTTAGTAATGTTTACAATAATCAAGTAATGAACCTGCGCTAATTTTCTTCAAGTCGTCATTAATCCCTCGTAAATTAAAAACATGTTCAGCATTATCTTTTAGTTTGCCCTTGGCCATGAGACCTTCAGTCCATTGAGGGGCAGTGAGGCCCATTTCAATCTGTAATTAAAGTAATGATCGTCATCAATTTCTACTAAATACCAAGTGATAAAGTGAAATAAAATTTAAAACAAAAAAAATAAATTAAAAAAAAACCAAAAATCATGATAAATATACCTCGGAATTTATAGTGACATAAACGATATAAGCAAGCTCATACGTTCCATTGGTCCCAGCGTGTCGTGAAATATTCTGAAAGAACTCTTTATTGTCCTCGAGATATTTTATCATAATGGGATTTGTCGTCTCTGCAAGCTTCTGTTGCTTCATGTAATTACTGCAGACCCCCACCGAAGAGAAATAAAACCAAGCCTCCTCCATGGATGGAGCTGACTGAATCGGAATGGGTTGCCAGTCGAGATCACTGTTCCACCTGATTATCCCACAATTGGTATCCATCAAGACAATTATCACAATGAGAGAATCTATATTATTTTTTTAGATATTATACTTTTCGTGAAACTGCGGTGGGTAGAGTCCAGCGGCCACTAGCTGTCCAGATGTTTTAGTTCTGTCCACGTGACTGCTGAAGAATTTCACAACATCGGGATGTCTGCTATCTCCCAGGAACGTGCCATACCTCGTCCGAAAGAATTTCCCCAGATCGAAGGACCCCTTTTTTCCAATCTGAGGACCAATTAATCTGCATTAGGTCATAATAATAAATTAATTAAATAATAAAATATTGGATTTTACATTGGTCAAGCCACCATTAGGCACAGGATACCAGTCCTTTGAGCTGTACGGATCATTGGGGTACCAATTTGGCAATGAATCAGCACTACGGGCTCCATGACGGAAAACTGATTGAATAAACTTCAATTCTGCATTGCACTGATCCCCAACAATCATGAGAATCAATATCACATTAAAATCACATGTATTCATGATAATTACTGAATAGTTCCAGTGTCTACTCCATCCTTCGACTGATGGGGAACATTATCATTGAGATAAAAAAAATTCCTATCTATACTATCTCTCAGGGAATCATGTGCTTCCGTAATTTGTACAAGGATTTTATCGATAACACCTGAAGCTGATACTGAAGAACAAATTCAACGATTAGATCCCCGACACATCAAGTTCAATACATTCTCTCAATTGAATCTCTTGCTGACGATAATGAGATAAGGATCAACGCAAATATTTGAATTTCTCAAGAATTCATGAGAGAGATGAGAATTTTACGTGTGCTGTTGCTTCTCGATGACGTCTGCGCATTCACAAGTTGAAATATAGCTGCCAGACTATAATATTCTTATGATAGATCGGATAGTTAAAAATTCACTTGTGTATGATGTAAACAGGAATATTTGAATTATTGTGCGCTCGCGGACTTGAAGGGGAAGAACCGAGAATCACCGACGATTGGAGGACTGTAAACAAAGAGGATTGACTAAAGTAGAGGCTCAGTTCTCGGGGTTTGAGTGACCCCAGCAGCATTGTAGTACTGCACCCCAAGAAAGGGAGGGCACCCCACGCAATGCTGGGGTGTCCATCAAGTCGACGGGGTGAATTTTATTTTCTGCTGTACGAATGCTTTTTGTTTTTCATTTGTTTAACTGAAATTTAGCCGACTGTAGCACGTACGGAAGGGGGAAACCACATCTTGTGGAATTTCAATGGAAAAAATTATTCAATCTATTGAATATATACCACTAATGAATTTATATTTTTGAAAGAGCGCGTTGTCCTAGCGGTAACGTACTCGGCTAGCACGCCGACGGCCCGGGTTCGATCCCGCCGTCATTCATTTTTTTTTTTAAATAATTCCAATTTTTTCTTCAGGTAGGTATTCACTGCAATTGAAAAATTCGAAATTTTTGAAAAAGTATCAGGGGAACATGACAATCGAGGAGCTATTCACTGACATTTTCACTAAAAGTGAAAAATTCGAAATTTTTATAAAAGTATCAGGAGAACATGACAATCGAGGAGCTATTCACTGAAATTTTCACTGAAAGTGAAAAATTCGAAATTTTTGAAAAAGTATTAGGGGAACATGACAATCGAGGAGTTATTCACTGAAATTTTCACTGAAAGTGAAAAATTCGAAATTTTTGTGAAAGTATCAGGGGAACATGACAATCGAGGAGTTATTTACTGAAATTTTCACTGAAAGTGAAAAATTCGATATTTTCGTAAAAGTATCAGGAGAACATGACAATCGAGGAGCTCTTCACTGAAATTTTCACTACAAGTGAAAAATTCGAAATTATTGAAAAAGTATCAGGGTAACATGACAATCGAGGAGGTATTCAGTTTTTAAACAATAATTCGATTGATTTGCCATTAACAAAAAAAAATTGGAATTATTTAAAAAAAAAAAAAAAAGAATGATGCCGGGATTGAACCCGGGCCGCCGGCGTGCCAGTTGAGCACGTTACCGCTAGGACAACGCGCTCTTTCAAAAATATAAATTCATTAGTGGTATATATTCAATAGATTGAATAATTTTTTCCATTGAAATTCCACAAGATGTGGTTTCCCCCTTCCGTACGTCCTACAGTCGGCTAAATTTCAGTTGAACAAATGAAAAACAAAAAGCATTTGTACAGCAGAAAATAAAATTCACCCCGTCGACTTGATGGACACCCCAGCATTGCGTGGGGTGCCCTCCCTCTCTTGGGGTGCAGTACTACGATGCCGGTTGGGTCACTCAAACCCCCAGAACTGAGCTTCTACATTAGTCAATCCTCTTTGAGTGTAAACATGGCGAATCGTACGGTTAAAGACGCCAAGTCAATTCGAGGGACAAATCCTCAGTATTTAGTGGAGAAAATCATAAGATCACGTATTTATGATTCTAAATACTGGAAGGAAGAGTGTTTTGCTCTAACTGCCGAGTTATTGGTCGACAAGGCCATGGAGTTAAGGTGAAGAATATAATTTTAACCTCAATGTTCATTAGCTATTGTCTATTCTTCATCAATTGACAAGTGAATAAAATATTTGTTTTATTGATAGATATATTGGTGGAGTTTTTGGTGGAAATGTCAAGCCCACACCATTTATCTGTCTCACTCTAAAAATGCTGCAAATTCAGCCAGAGAAGGATATCATAGTGGAGTTCATAAAGAATGAGGAATTCAAATATGTGCGTGCCCTGGGTGCTCTTTACATGAGACTCACTGGGACGTCTTTGGATTGCTACAAGTACCTGGAGCCTCTCTTCAATGACAATCGAAAATTACGGCAGCAGAACAAACAGGGACAATTTCAGCTGATTCACATGGACGAGTTCATTGACAGTCTGCTGAGGGAGGAGAGGAGCTGCGATGTTATTCTCCCCAGGATACAGAAGAGGCACGTTCTGGAAGAGAACAATGAGCTCGAGGCAAAGATATCTGCTCTAGAGGATGACATGGACGACGGTATAGAGACCTCAGAGGATGATGAGATCCCTCCATCCAAGGATGAGACTAGAAAACGACAGGATGATTACGAGAGGGACAGGGAGCGTCACAGGGATCGAGACAAAAGACACTCCAGGTCTGATAAGAAATCGGAGCGTGAAAAGAGATCGAGGAGTCGGGAGAGGGATCGCAGGGAGCGAAAGAGGAGTAAATCTCCTAGGGTTTATTCACATAAGGATAAGGAAAGGGAGAAAGATCGACACAGGAGGGACGACAGGGAGAGGGATCGAGAGAGGGAGAGGGATAGGGATCGGAGACGTGAGAGAGATCGTAATCGGCATTGATTCAGTCACGAAATTATTTCAATTTTCCATTTTTCATCTTTGTATATAACATAATTGAATTATTGAGGGCATTCTTCTAGATATCCTACAATCATTTCTTCATTTGCTATTTACATAGAATCATTGAATATCTGTTTTCTCAGTTCTGTGTAGCTCTGTACAACTATGAATCAATGAATTTTTTACATGAGAAAACTCCACTAGAAGTGTCTTAATTCATTATTTACATAATAATCATCGATTTAAACATCGGTTCTTTGACCATTGGTTATTGGATAATGTTTTTGTTCATTGGAGGGTTTTATCTTAAATATTATTCAGAATGTCGGTGAGTTAAGGATGAACAGTCTGTCTTCCTCCTTCTCTATCCAATTCAGGAGTTTGCTCACTGCGTTTATGGCGTCTGGTTTAGTTACTAGGGGTTCGAACGTTACGTATAATTCAAATCCAGAAGTTACCTAAAAATTAAAAAAATCATTTATCAGAGTTTAGGATGATTTTTATTTCCATTTGATTATTTACCCATGCGAGCATTGTCTCCTTATCCAACTGCTGGAATATTAATTTCAGTGGACGACTGGGGGCATGTAAACGATGATGGAGACACTGGTACAGCCCCAATAATCTATAAAAATACAGAATGTTGGAAAACGAAACACCAAAGAAATTCAATAACAATAATAAGAAAAATACAAATATAATTGTTGTCTTCAAGTACCTCTCAATCTCCTCATCTTTGACATAAGGTGGTTGAAACCCAGGACTCCAGAATTGTGCAGTACTTCGGCATTTATAGAGTACGTGACGCATCTCGGACAAGCCAATATCGGCAGTGGTAACAGATACCCTATTCATTGATTCATTGATCGCCTCCAAGCAATTGGTCCTTCTCAATCGCTCGACGATTTTCTGCTTCGCCTCTGAGAGTGTCGAGAAGACATCTCTGTCGACAGTGAGGAGCAGAAGGCATGCTTGACAGTCCTCAGCGAGATAGGATACATGTGCATGCATAAATCCATTGGCATCGAATTTAGGAAGGCAAATTGGTGTCCAACCTTCAGCCGTCTTGAATGACTCCGAACTGTCGATGAGGTTCTGGATCAAATGCAGATCTGCAGGGTGTATAAAAAATTTCTTCATCCTCACGAGAGTCACCAGCTGATTGTTTGCCAGGAGAATGGCAAATACAAGGTTTTTTATTTTGCCACATGTCTGAATGATGGTCTGGGTGATGGAGTCCCTCATGGATGGGACCAGGGGTAGGCACTTGACAGCCCCCAAAAAAAATGCTGGCTCTCTGTCCATAAAATTCAGCAGATGATCAATCAGTCTTTCACTTCCAGTTAATAATCTCCGGAGATCGAAGTTTCTTCTTTGATCATAGACTCTGGTGAGTTGAGACTGAGTAAGAACGAAGAGAATCTGATTGTACACGTAGGTGAGCTGGAGAGCAAGCTGAGGGACACTCTCGAGAGTTTTCGAGACTGCCACTAGGATGAGTGGCCCTTTAACGAGAAAAACAAAATTTGTATTACCAGCGTGGACTGATCTTATCATATCGTTGCCAGCCTGAACGAAAGAGACCAGAGCCTGCATCACTCCCATCACAGTCACAAGTTTGTCCTCTGGACTGTGCCTCGAATAAACTGGCTTACCAGCTTGACTCAGCACAAATATATGTTTTTTCTGTGCCAACCACTTTTTGCATCTTAAAGGATCAGTGTCGAGATTGCATTGACTGAGTTCATTTGTTACATCCTCCAGGTCTGATTCATTGAGGGATGGATTCCTCTTGAGATTCATCAGGTTCTCACTGTTGAAAAGTTTTCTCTCATCTTCCTCAGGAGATGCTCCAGCATCTTTTTTCCTATCATCGATGCTACTCCGTATTTCTTGCTCGTACTCCTCAAAACTGTTAGTAGTTACCAGCATCGTCTCCGTGGATGCTCCAGGCTCAATCCCTGGCTCCACAATTTCATCGTCAATAGGAGTTGCCTCTGAGGCCATTTCTAATTGTCAATCACTAGATGAAAACACGGTATTTTTATTTTTTTATTTTAGAGTCATCACTGATAATGCAGGAAGTCTTCCTCGATGAAGATTTATCGAGTTATAATCAACATTGTCACCTCCCTAATAATATTTATGTACACATTATTGATGGAGATTGGGTTAATTCAAACAGTGATTAGGCGAGTATTATATATAAGAGATTTATCACTTTATTCTGGGATCCATACAATTATTAATGGTTGTGCACTATGATTTATTTCTCGTTCTAATTTAATTAATCATTTTGGAGCAATTATTGTCGTGATAGGAGATTGCAATTGGAATTTTCATGAACCACAATGGTATGTGATATTTTGGTTGGCGAATGTTAGGGGTCGCCTCTCGTCAATACACAATACACGTAGAGAATATGCCAGGAACGTCAAGAATCATAGTGAGAATGGCGGCGTTATTGAAGGTTAGTTGTCATTTTTCCTTATAATATATAAATCGACATGTTGACAATTTTTAAAATCTTCCCTCATGACATTACCACGCGGAGATTTTAATTTAGGGTAAAATTTTTCGAGTTGTTGTGTTGTAATTGATATTTACCAAGACTTTGGAGGTCTTTTACGTGTGTATCTCATGTGTTTGGCGCATGAAATCTTTTATATATTTTATATGAATAATTATCAAGTGGCATGAGAACTCAGGTGAATACTAAAATTCACAGAATTGTCACAGAATTTCAAACGTTTCCCTCATGATGTGTTCAATTTGATGCACCAGGACAGAGGTCAGATACCATTCGAGGAAAAATGGCCATCGATGCGACCGATTATTTTGAAATTACTGAAGCAAGAGCCAGTGACGCAGGCAGAATGGCAGGATCTATTTTACTCTGTCCACCTGGTGTGCATGTGGGATGAGAAAGGAGCTCCAAAAATGAAAGACGCTCTCAAGGAGGATATCATGGACTTTATACAGCAGGCACAGCAGAGAGTTCTCACTCATCAGGAGGAGCAAGCTCTGTTGAAAGCTTATATAGCTGAATGGAGGAAATTTTTTACCCAGTGTAATTATCTACCGACCCCATTTCGACAGCTCGAGAGCTCTCTGGCTGGCAAAACAACCTCGAGTATACAGAAGAGGAATCCTACCGAGGAGAGTATCGTTAAGAAGCTTATGCTAGATAGTTGGAATCAGAGTATATTCAATGACATTAAGAAACGCCTACAGGACTCGGCAATGCGACTGGTGAGGGCTGAAAGAAATGGTGAGGCCTTTGACTCACAGTTGGTCATTGGTGTGAGGGAGTCTTATGTTAATCTCTGCTCAAATATGTCAGACAAACTTCAGATCTACAGGGAGAATTTTGAGGCTGCGTACATCGAGGCAACTGAGGAATTCTATTGTGTCAAGGCACCTGAACAATTACAAGCATATGGGGTTGAGAGCTACATGAAGTACGCAGACACAAAATTGCGGGAAGAGGAATTGAGGGCGCAAAAGTATCTCGAACCCAATTGCATGAGTGTTCAATTATTAACAGACTGTTGTGTTAAAGTTCTGGTTGCCTCGGCCAAGGGCCCCATTCTCGCTGAGTGCCCCAGGATGATTCGAGAGCATCAAACCGATAAATTACACTTGATGATGAAACTAATGGATCGAGTCACTGATGGGGTTGGCCCGATGCTAAAGAATCTCGAGGAGCACATATCCAGCGCTGGATTGGCTGACATGATGGCAGCTGTAGACGTTATCACTCAGGATTCGGAAAAATACGTTGAACGTTTGCTGGATCTTTTCAGGAGATTCTCGGCCCTTGTCAAAGAGGCATTCGACGATGATCCCAGGTTCCTCACCGTTCGCGATAAAGCGTATAAACTTGTTGTCAATGATTCGACGGTTTTTCGATTGGAATTACCCTCGAAGAGTGGGCCTGGTCCTGCCACTGCTGTTGGTGGTAAACCGAACAATAATAATAACGGCCAACCGGAGTCAAAGTGCCCGGAATTGTTGGCTAATTACTGTGATATGCTTCTCAGGAAGACCCCACTGAGTAAAAAACTCACGTCCGATGAGATTGAGAGCAAACTTCGTGATGTTCTTTTAGTTTTGAAATATGTGCAGAACAAGGATGTCTTCATGCGTTACCACAAGGCTCATTTAACGAGGAGATTAATTTTGGATACCTCAGCTGATTCGGAAAAGGAGGAGAATATGGTGGAGTGGTTGAGGGAGGTGGGCATGCCAGCCGATTACGTTAATAAACTCGCAAGGATGTTTCAAGATATCAAAGTCTCTCAAGATCTTAATCAGCAATTCAAGGAGCAGTGCAGGGCAACCATAGCAGATAGCATTAATATCAAAATTTTGAATGCCGGGGCGTGGGCCAGGAGCAATGAAAGGGTTACAGTTAGCCTGCCACTTCAACTGGAGGATTATATACCCGAGGTTGAGGATTTTTATAAGAAAAAACACAGTGGAAGAAAGCTACAGTGGTATCATCACATGTCCAATGGCACCATAACATTTGCCAATCAGGTAGGGAGATTCGATGTAGATGTGACGACTTTTCAAATGGCTGTGCTCTTCGCCTGGAATCAACGACCACTCGAGAGAATATCGTATGAAAATCTTAGATTAGCTACAGAACTTCCTGATCCTGAGTTGAGAAGGACCTTGTGGTCTTTGTGTGCTTTTCCCAAACTTAAGAGGCAGCTCGTACTGGTGGATCCTCCTGCCTCCAGTCCTAAGGATTTCACTCACGATACCAGATGCTGGGTCAATCAGGAATTCGCTATTGTGTGAGTTTCTCGAGTTTTTATGGCCATTGGTATCTGTTTATTGTTCAGATGTTTATTTGACAATTTTCCAGGAAAAATGGAAAACTCCAGAAACGAGGGAAAATTAATCTCATTGGGAGACTTCAGTTGTCGACAGAACGTAGTAAAGAGGAGGATAATCAGTGCATCGTGCAGTTGCGAATATTGAGAGTACAGGTACAGGGAAATTTAAAAGGTTATTGGTAATTAATTGAGTTAATTTGGTATTGTTTGTGTGCTTTTAGGAGGCGATTATAAAAATATTGAAAATGAGAAAGACGATGAATAATGCACAGCTACAGACAGAGCTGATTGACATATTGAAGAACATGTTTTTACCGAGCAAGAAAATGATCAAAGAGCAAATTGAATGGCTGATAGAGCACAAATACATAAAACGACATGATGATGATATAAATACATTCGTCTACGTGGCATAACCCGAGATCTCGTTTTGTATGTTCCTCTTCCGTTTCATCAATTGATGTCGTGTATATTTTTATAACAATTCCTAAGATTTCTACCATTATTCTCTTTCAATACCAACGAAGAGTGAATCAAGACTTATGATAAATAAAGGGCGATGAGAAGAAATGATTGTATAATCAGTTGATGGCCTATGGGATAACACGTTGAAAGCGAAATCATGTGATTATTGGAAAGCATTAAAATTCTCAAACGTCTTCAAACAAATATAAATATTAAAATTAAATAGTCTAGTGTCCAGTGGATCAAGTCTGATAGGGAATATCTTGTATAAAGCCTTCAATAATATTTCAATGATTTAATCAAGCGTGTAACGTGTACAAGTTTAAACATCATTGATTAAACAATAATTTTTTTCAAATTTTGGTTTTCAAATGTGTTATTATTGACTCAATACATCCTTAGCGATTTCTTTTTATCCATTTAAGTTTGATTTTAATTTTAATTTTAATTTTTTTTTTTTTTTTTTTTTAGTAATTCATCTTTATACACATTTTTAGTTAAAAATTAAACCACCTAGGCCAGTACACACGAATGGCGTCTGAGCATCAAAGCACATGGTAAATGATAAATTTCTTCATTAAGTACTCTGTTCGCTGAATATTTTTTTTTTTTTCTTTGTACTGTCAGATTTACATATTACGATATAATTTCAATTGCTTGTAAGCACTCGAAAAGAAATATTTTTAAAAATCTATAAAATCAATAAGCTTTACAAAAACAAACGATTAACATTCTAGCAACTTTGGCATCGCTATTATTCATTAAATAAATAATTGCAGTTTGATCTGTCTCATGAGATTGTCTCACTTTGATTTTGGAACTATTTTATTACAACAGGAAAATTCCAAATTTCGAGGATTAACAATTGTGAGATGAACGTATCAACTAATAATGATTAAAAATTTCTTAGTTGAGTAAAAGGATCTGACCTTTCTCTGCCTCATTGCCTCTTCATTATTATTCATTTCTTTGATTAGACTACGGCAATTTATGCACATTCTCATACATACATAAAATTACACCATTAATTTCATATTTATATTTTGAACATTTTCCACACGGATTTTCATCGGGGGAAAAATATGTTCATCTTCCTCTCCCCATATTTCTATGATTATTCTCTTGAGGATGTACCTGACATCCAAGATATATATATGTTCAGCACATCTGTTGTATTATATCGCAATTTCACCTTTTTTATTCCAATAATCACGTTAATTAAACATATGAAATGCGACAATTATTTTCATTGGAAGAGAATTTTTACCTATCACCCAATTCAATTGAATCATTAATAGCAAATAATAGCTAGTAATAATAATCTCGTATTGTTTTGAGATTGAGAGTCATCAATGGATGAGCAATCGATTGCCTCTTTTAAATTCGATGTTTATCAAGGCTTATACCTGGAATAATCAGCTCCCAGTTCATCGCACTTCAGATACATTTATATAAGATATTTAGATCGAAGCAGAAACAACAGAGAATTTATCGGGGTTTCTTGTTACCGTCCAATATCACTAGTGCCTATACCATAGACTATAGAGTACAGCATATTGCTGTACTAATTTTGAATCAAATACTTCCGATTGTTCATTTCAAAGTCAATTTTACCCCGGCACAGTTACCTAAGTAGTTTAACTCATTCCTAACATCTATCAAAAAACATGTCAAGATGGCAAAATATATTCCAATGAGGAAAAACGCTCAGATAACGAGAGGACATACTTGCAGGTACATTTAGATATATAATTAATGAATCAGTTGTCAAATGAAATAACGAGATTACTCCTCAGAATATCATATCATTATTTCTCTTCAACACTAAAATACGGAACAGCCAGTTTGCTTTAATATGTTAATCTTCATTTTTCTCCATTCTCCAAATATTAATGGTATTTCGAGATAGTTTATGACTCCAAAGGCAAATGTAAATGAAATATACACACAGTAACATGTATGAAGCTTTTGAGATCACAATTGCGATTGAATGTGAGAGATTTTTTTCCATACCACGTCTTATCTCTCCATATCTGGTCGTGATATATTTTCAAGGCTCTTCGAAATTCTTGAAAAGCATCTTACATTCTCTTTCTATCGTAATATTTATGAATTAGTCACCTGGATGGATTCGATCGATATCATTTGCCATTGACTATGTTGCAGCTGATGAATGGAGAATTTAATGTTCAGGACAGCGTGTGTGCTGAATGGGGGGATGCCTCTGGGGTGAATTTGTCGTCTCGCAGACGTGCACCACGATGCCAGGTTGACCAGAGCCTCCGGCGTGCAGCTCGTGGCTTCCACCTTTAAACAAATCACACATATTTAACAATACATATTTAATTCAATCCTCCAGGATTTATTCCAATAGTCCAAGGGTGTAATGACCTGGGGAGAGATTGGCAATGGCAGCCAATAAATCTTGATTAACTAGTGGTTCTCCTTCCTCTCTGGGCTGCCATCCAATGGGTGGAGACGCTGGAGGTGATATTAGGAACTGTTTTGTCAGTGCTGGGGGCTGGAGATGCTGATCCTCTATATCTAGAGACAATTTAATCACATGTATTTATCAATTATTGAAAAGTAAATCGAGTTATTTTTGTTATTATACCTATCGGCGTCACTGGCTGGGCAAAATAACAATTGATGTCAGTTTCACCATGACGTGTTTGATGCAATTGTATTCGGGCATGAGCAGCGGCACCCGGTGAGTTGTAATTCACTCGCATTCTTCTGAATGACTTGAAATACTGGAATGTCGCCTCATCACCGAATTGTTTGAATAGATGTTCGATGTCAGCCTTAAGTTCGTCACATTTGAATACCCGGGGATCTACATTGGTCACGATAACAGACATTGGTAGATCCTCATCGTGCACCAATTCATCTAATGTTCTAACGCTCTTGTCACTTGTACTTTTATCGTCGCTGAGATCGAGGTTGAGTTGTTGGAAATTAGGGTGCAGATTTGGTAGACCATCTACTTCGTTTATTATTATATTCTCCGGATCTTCCTCGTCGTCTGTCATGTTTGACTCACGTTTCTCGTCCATTGCGCTCTGTTCTATCTATTTAAAAATCAGAGGCAATCGGTGGCAATCAGAGACTCAGCACTTGGTTATGTCAGCTAATTAACGGAGGATAAATAATCACCACACAATTAACGATACTCTGGGCTGATCGAGATATGCTAGTCTGTTATTAAATTGATATGGGTTAATGTCAAAGGTTGTTATTGCGCAGAGAACATTTCGATGGATTGAATAATTTAGAGATAACTTTTAGTAATTAGCACAAATTAAGTGGTGGATTGTTAACAACTGGACGAGGTTAAGTAGACCCGAACAGTGATTGGGTGAGGGAAAATCTATAATTCGAAATACAAATCTCTGGATATTTATGTTTTGATAGCTTACATTGTGTCCGCTCGATCCAAGTCTGGGAATATCACTAGAATATTAATTGCAAATTATCATGTCCATTGATTAGCAGATGAGGAGCAGATGAAGGACAATGTTTCTTCGATCTATTGACAGCACTTGGTATTTGTAGTGTTTATGCTGGCTCACAACGATGTTTATCACTTATTGTTATCACAATTATTTCATGCAAGACTGAGTGACTGACTGGGTTTGAAGAACGAGAGCGAAAAAATTTCGGTGCAATCATTGCGATTTGTGAGTGTTACATTACACGAGTATTGTTGTTGGTGTAAAGAACGTGATGAATTGTTTATTGGAAAACTAATTGGGATGAGATGATGATGAGATTTGTGGGTTTTCTGGGGTGAAAAATTGGGGTAATTAGGTGGGGGATGAAAAATTCCTGGGGTGGGGTGGATAACGTCGATACCCACACTACTTGCCACCAGAAATTTGAGTCGCTACTGCATCGACCCCAATTTACAATTGTATATAGTAATACAATACAATAATTAATATTCATTATATTGATTTTTGATTTGAAAAAATAATCATGGTCGAAATAATGGATTTTTGCCTTTTTGTTTCCACATGGAAGGATTTGTAATCTTTCGACTTCTCCATTATATAATTTTGCCGGGAAATTACGTAGAACTGTATGAAACGTAAAAATACAAAGTTTTAAGATCACACTGAGAAATAAAAGCTTTACACTTTACACTATGCACATTGCATTTTGCATTTTACACTTTGCTCCCTGATGATTGGGAGTAAAGTGTGTGTAATTCCCGCCCTCGGGTGAGAAAGTTGCTGCCCAAGGTCAACCTTGGAAGCAATTTTCCACCCTAGTATATACAATTTCTCCCTGTGTGTTTCAAATTACAGGATCATAGGATAGTTAACTTTTAGGAAAGGGATTAAAATAAACGGATAGATTGTTTTTAAAAAATCTGAAATTTTTTTGAAAAAGTTGATACCTCCTAATATGGATTTGATCTGCACTGATATTCAACCCGATCCGTCGAGTAATTTTCAAATGGATTTTTTTCAAATATATCTGCAGATGAGAGATATGATCGAATCAATAATTCAAATGCTGTTGTCAAGGGGACAATAAACAAGTCTTTTGACATTATATGCTCGCGTACAAGGAGGGGAAATTAAATACATCGGATAATTCGTTGAGAGTCAACTATAAATCTTCGTCATGGCTACGCCACTACTGCAGAGTCGAGTCTTGTATGGTTTAAAAACCGATGTAATTAGTAACGCGCACTATATCACCGATAACGATATTCTATACCCCGTGGGGAATGCCCTGGCAATCCACAACTTTCACGAGCGTCGTCAGCGGCTGCTTCGCCTCCCAGAGAAGTACCAGATCAATATCATCGCCGTTACCCCGAATAAGTGAGTTGAAATTTCCATTTCAACAATTTATTTTCTGATAATTACGTGATTAACTGATTGTAATTATTCTATCATCGATAAGGAAATACGTGGCGATGTGTGAGGTAGGGGACAAGCCGATCATTTCAATTTACGACGTTCACAGTCTACGTCGTAGGAAAACCCTGGGTATTCCATACGACTGTCCGGAGGTAAAGAAATTCACCTGTGTGGCTTTCAGCTTCGACAACAAGTACCTCGCAGGTGTGACAGACCTCCCGGACCAGACGATGCTCTTCTACGCCTGGGAAAAGGGCAAAGTCGAGTCGTCAATTAAAGTCATCAATCCCCAAAACCCCTCCGCCCTCATCAGCCAGATATCCTGCAATCCAGGAGACATCGGACTCGTCGCTCTCGCCGGCAGATTCTCTTTCAAGTTTCTCACCTGCTCCGAGACCATTTGGCGTCCCTACGGTTTCTCCAAAACCGATAACCTTCTCATCTCCTCGATCTGCTGGCTCAACAATGATCGCCTCCTCGCGGGTACCGACGACGGGCGTATTCTCTTCCTCGAAAACGGCGATCTCAAGAGTATCTTCAAAATGAGCGACGTAACCCAGATAAATCTCAAAGTCCGAGAAGAATTTGTAATCTACCCCTCCACGGAGAAATCAGGTGAAGAGATACAGGGATTGGTATCGTTCCCCAAGGGCTTTGCCTTCGGCTACGGTCCCGGTAGAGTTCTCGTTTTCGAAAAGGACGGACAACACAAGTTCATCAACAAACACATCTTCACGGTGCCACGGCAGGTCACCAAGGATCCGGATTCCACAAAGAGCTTTTACGATATCAACTCGATCAGTGCGAATCCCAGCTCAGACCGCTTAATTGTTACCACCGGCTGGTCACAGCTATTTGTTGCCAAATTATGGACATCAGCACTCCTGTTGGATGTCACCTCGGAGGACCTGGGGATCATGGGGCAGGCGTTGCACCAAGGACCGATCAATAGCCTCTCGATGTGCGCTTGGAAGTCCATTTTTATCACCTCTGGAGACGACGATAGAAGTGTCAGAATCTGGGATTATGAGTCTGAAAACGTTGTTATGTTCAAACAGTATCAGGAGAATATCTACTCCGTCGCTCTGCACCCCATCGGTCTATTCTGTCTCATAGGGTTTACTGACAAACTCAGATTTATGACCATCTCCATCGACGACCTCTTGACGATGCAAGAATTTCCCATTCGCGCTTGTAAAATTGTCAAATTCAGCAACGGAGGTAATTTTTTTGCCGCTGTCAATGCCAACATCATTCACGTATACACGACCATCGACTTCTCCAGTAAATTTCTCCTGAAAGGACACACTGGAAAAATCAGTCACATTGTCTGGTCCCAACACGATTTCAAATTGATCTCAGCTGGATTAGACGGGGGAATTTACACCTGGGATATGACCACCGGCACCAGAATCGGTGAAATCATCCTGAAGAACGTCTCGATCAATGGCGTGGGGTTGACAGCCGATGCGTCATCCATCTACTGCATCGTCAACCATGAAATTAATAAAATTTACGAAATAAAAGAGGACGCAATAGTTCGGGAGCTCTCCATGACGAAGAATCAACTGACATCTCTACTCCTTGGTAAAAACGACTCTCTAATTTTTGCCACGTGTCCTGGTGGTGTAATTCTATCCTTCAAAATTCCTCTCTTGGAGGCCCTGGAGTGCAAGGACGTTCATATTCACTGCACGGACATCACCAATTTTTCTCTCTCATTCAATGAGCAAAATCTCATATCTGCAGGGAGCGATGGGAGTTTGTGCTTTTGGAAGGTGGTCTCTCCTGAGGCTACACCGGATAGTGATTACATGTACACCAGCGAGGTTCTCATCGGTAAGAATGATCTTGGGGAGAAAATTCAATTAATTGAAGAGCTGACCATCAGAATTAAAGAATTGGAGACTGAAGCCGCTTATAAAATGCGTCAGATCGAAGTGCAGCATAATGATAAAATGCGACAGGTGCATCAGGGATACTGCGAGGCCATTGAGGAGCTTAAAGCCAAGATCGATAAGTTGCACGAGGAGAGGACTAACGAACTAAATAACATCAATTTTGAAATAGCCAAGATGAAATATGAGCATGAAAAATCGGTCAAGGATATGGAGATCCGTTATGACAGCAAATTGATAGTTGAGTATGATAAATATTCGGCGTTCGAGGTGAAGAATAATCTAATGAGGGAGAGTTACAAAAGGAAAATTGAAAAAATCGAAGCTGCGAGAGTTAAAGAGCTAGAGGAGACAATCAAAACACATGAAGCACTGCTGCACGAAAAGGGGATTCAGTTGCAAGAGTTTCATGAGGAGATGTCCCACCAGGTGCGCATCCATGAAAGGATTAAGGATCAGATTGAGGATGATGCAGATAGGGAAATTGTGGAGATTAGATCTGGGTATGAGAGTCTGCTCTATGAAGAACGCCAGGCTAATTTGAAGCTCAAGGGGGAGGCGGGTGTGCTCAGGAATAAATACACTGCTAATCAGAAAGAAATTGAGGATCTTAAGAGGAATGTTAGTCACCTCCAAGATGAGCAGCATCAATACCAGAAGACTATTGAACAATTGGAGAAGGATGTGCGGGATCTGAAAGGGGAAATTAGCGAGAGGGATGCTGCTATTCAGGATAAGGAAAAGAGCATTTATGATTTAAAGAGAAATAATCAGGAACTCGAAAAGTACAAGTTTGTGCTGAATTATAAAATCGTGGAGCTGAAGAATCAGATAGAGCCGAAGGATGATGAGATTATGGAGTTGAAGGATAAAGTGCTGAGGATGGAGAAGGAGATGCTCACGATTCACAATGAGAATAAAAATCTTCAATTACAGATCAGTGATATGAGTGATAAGTTGAGTGGAGTGAAGAAAGAGGTGCAGATCGAGGCGGAGAAAAACAGAAATAATCAACAGCTGATGAAGAGAATTCAGAAGGACTTGGTTGATACTGCTGGTGTTATTCAAGAGCCCCATGCCCTCAAGGTCGCTGTTATGAATCTTTATAATCGATACAGCAGTGATGAGAAGCTGCAGAGGACTAGAGAGGCAAGTCTTGAGGTTGAGTGCGAACTTATCAGACAGAGGGATCACCTGGAGAGAACAATTGACTCGTTGAAAAGGCAATTTTCCCGGATGAAGAAAACTACATGAGACTGGATTCTTCATCATCAATGGAATGCTCAAGTTTTTTTTTTTTTTTTTTTTTTTATTTTCTAACCCTCTAATTGTACAAATAGCGTAATTTGTAAATATTGATAATCTATTCGGGCAATAAATTTCGCAAATATTATACAAAATATGATTTATTAAGACAATGAAAAAGGGAGCCGAATAAGGATCGATTACCTTAATTAAATAGTACTCAGATATAAATAGAATAAAATTTTAAGCTCAATAAAGAGACATAGAGGAATCAATTGTTTAGAATAAACCCGGAATAATAGCTTTTCGACCTTTGGGGTAATCGGAAAATTCTTTTTTGTAAGCTCGATGTTTTGCCAGGGCCCACACGCTCATTTGGTAAGCACCGGCGAATGCAAAGAGTGCAGCTGAAAGGAAGGAATTCGTGATTACTCGCTCGAGGAAATTTATTTAAATCGAATAATCGAATAATCGAATAATCGAATAATAAAATTCACCTGGAAGGCATTTAGTCATAATGGTGAATCCAATCCAACTGCCAATTTCGTAGGTGTAATTAGGACAGGAGACAGAATTGAAGAGTGATGTAAATGGATTACCAGTGGTCACTGGAATTTTTCTGACTGCTGTGCCTGCTGGTCTGAGGTCCCTCAGGGCCAGGTGAATACTCAGATTACCTAACTCACATATTACGAAAATTGCAAGACCAATTGCTGATGCAGCTCCACTTGGTTCGGTGTACAGTGGATGATTTACGTGATAGGCGACATACATAGTAAACAGCCAATAGTATAAGCAATTTTTAAATAAATTTCTGAGGGGCATCGTTGCATGACTGAAACGATGGACAAAAATCGTCTCGAACAGCCTCTTGGCGTAGTGAATTGTCCAGCAGACTGCAGCATAGCTGTAACAAATAAATTTATTCAATTTCAGGTAATAATGTAAACATACAGTGTCTAATGGAGAATCGAAAGACATTTTGAGAATGAATTATTCGTGGATTTATCGAATGGATGGGATAATTATCACTCACTGGACAACGGGCTTTGCTTCTTGATTGGTTTCTCCGTAGAATATCCAGGGTCGCGTGTACACCCAGATGTAGACAAACAAGGGTCCAGCATATTCAACCAGAAAAACTGTTTTCCAGCCGATTTGGGGGCCCAAGTCTTTATAGTATAGTTGCGAAGAATTACTGAGACCCAATGACTTCACTGTCTCAGAGTCTGACAATGACTTGCCTTTTGGATCCGTCCGGAGGCACTGGCGAGCTACGTAAGGGGCCTTCTTCTGTTTATTCAATTCTTTTTTTATATCACCTATTGTTGTGCTTTCGGTTACCTGTTAAATTATTATTCATTATTAATAATTCTTCGTCTTGACATAAAACTCAGGAAACTGACAGAATTATTCACACAATTGGCAAAAATGAGGGAATTTTTTTAAAAATATTTTCAAATATCACAAAAATGCATTAGTGATTCTTTTTTTATTTATTTTTTTAAAAGGTTCAATGTAATTGTTTACTCACTCTGACAGTAATTATGGAGTTTAATTTTTTTGCTCCAACTATTTCGATCTGTAATAAAATAGTTATCAATATTATTATGTACAAGTGTTTATTACTATGAGTTTGTTAAAATCATTTATTAATTGCCTCCATTTTCGCCGGATTCTTTGCTCGATCTACCCTTGACTAACAGCATAGACCGTCTGAGGTATGAGTCCTGGAGTTCACAGTTCATCCACGTCCCATCACTTCCGGTTAGCTCGTGTGGTGTCGCTGGGGCTTTGACAGCAAAAAATTTAAAAAAAGTACAAAGTCATTGAATATCCAATCATAATTCTTTTGGCTAGATTATTAAATTTATCAACGTTTATACCTTGCTGTTTATATCTTTATTCTTTTAGATTTTGCTAAACCGTAGAGATGAATACATAATTATTTTCCACCTATTTTCTCTATCTCGCGTGGACAAGTTTTTTCACTGATTTATCGGGCGAAATAATTGCTGAGTTGGAGAAAATTCAAGTGCCGATAATGAATTCATTGAGAGTTTTATAATAGTGACATAATGACCTATACTCTCTTGGTTAATAAACGATGCGTACATTGTTGATCTATCTGTTACTTCCGGTTGTTTTATCAGTCAACGAGATCGAACCCCGGCGCGTCATTTCATTCATTTCATTGAGTTAAAATACATAATAAATAAATAAAATTAAAATCTGAAAAATTGAAATTCTCATTAGGAAAAACACCATCGTGGCTTATTAAACAGAAATAATCCCCCATTTTTTTTTTTTTGTAAATAAGTTAGGGTATTATAAGCTGTTTGAATTTGGCGCGCCGGATGCCCCCCCCCCCCCGCCCCGCGCGTTTTGGGAAATGGTAGAAAATTGATAGAAAAACGGGAAAAAATGATATGAAAAAAAAGGAAAAGACAAATATTTGAAAATAGATGGATAAATATATAATATAAATAATCTCTATTTATATATATTTATAAAGAAAATGGGAGTAACAGAGTGAGAAGGTATTGTGGCTGTGTGGCGGCTGCTGCCCTGCGTACGTGGCATAAAACGTATCCACCAATGAGAACACTCCATCCATGAGAATAGGCGTATCCTACTGTCACACATACAGTACACAATCTAACAGTAAAATATCCAAATACGCACTAAAACAAATTCACAGCACAAGATTTTGTTCCTGTGTGTTACGGGATCGGCCATAACTCCCTCCGAGTCACCAAAAAGATATTCTCACCATTTACAACAGTGCAATTTTCAGTTGGTCTTTTTGATACCGTTGTAACATTTGCCGAAGGAGAACACGTATACGTGGATCAAAGAGGCCACCTTTAAGTCTCAACATCACTTAAATAAAACGTAACAATACTATTAATTGCTTATACTTTTACACAACTCTACATTTGTTGAGTTTTCATATTGATTATTGGTGTAACACGTGAGTTTCTCATATTTATTATTTATTTAATGAAATTTTGAGTAATTTTTTTAGAGAACGAGTCGATAAATTTCACTCGGATTATCGATACCCTCTGGCATTATCGTTTCGCCGGTTGTCGAGGTGAAGGTACAGTTTCTTTTGCTTTCCCATGGAATCTCGGGAATCTCAAGTTCGTTGAGTGCCGGTTCATTTTTTACATCTCACTTGAGATTTTTTATCGTTATCTTTTGGTGATTTAGACGATTACAGTGTTCGACGTGAACTTTCATCATTTCTTTTGCGATTATTCGATTTTGCAAATGGGATTTATCGGTTTTGATGATTTTAAGAATTGATAGCTGTGGAGACGACGTCTTCTAAGGATTTAATGGATTTTGTTGCGGACGATTTATTCATTGCTAGTGGTTTTGGAATTGTTCAAAGAGTTTTTGGAATTTCCAGAGCGAAATGGATCTGCAGACTGGTTTGATTTATGTCGGGGTTGTTGTCGTCTCGGCAGTAGTGATCTTCTTGGTCTCGATTTTGGGGACCAAAGAGAAGTCCTACGAAGAAGCTATCGCTGAACAGAGGAAGTTACCGGACGATTTACTTCTAGGTAAGTAATCTATCTATCTTCATGGTTAATTAATTATCGGGGGATATGATGGAGCGAGAGTGATTTCATCCGATGATTCGCCTAAATTTCCCATTAAAAATTCTGTATATTGATCTATTTAGCTGGAATTTTATTCTGGAAAACTGTAATTCCTCTTGATACTCTTCTTTCAACATTTACTCCATTTACTTCCATTGATCATTTAATTTCCAGGAAAAAAGGAAAAGGGCAAGGAGAAAAAGCATAAAAATAAAAGTGGCAAAAAGGTAAAGGAGAAGAAAGAGGAGAGAGAGGAGAAGGAAGAGAAAGAAGAAAAACCGGAGCACGTGCAATTTGAGGAGACTCCACAGATTCTACCCCCCGATCTACCAGCTCAGGTAATTAGGAATGAATTTAACTATTTGTAAGTAAATAGAGTAAATGGGGGTAATGGGACTCTGGCATGTGATAAAAAAGCCTGGGACACATTGTACTCTGCATGTTTTTCAGTAGCATTTAATAATGTTTGGCCTTTCGACGATTTTCACGGGTGAAATATGGTACGTCACTTTGCGTATCAAATGTTGCACATGTGGGTCATCCGGGATGACACATGTACAGAGGTTCATATCTTATTACATTTCTTTAGGGGGTAATTCATCTTTTCAGAAAGAATTACCAAGTTGAAGGTTTTGAATTCTTAACGTTATTCAAATTTTCATAAATTCAAAATTTACTTTTCATTCAAAACATTTTAATTTCTCAGACAGTTTTATATTTACACAGGTGAGCATCACTTCCATTTTTTGAATTTCCTCCATTTCTTTATCTACTTCAAACAAACTCGACAATGCGCTTGTCATTTATTTTTATTTCAAGTTAGATAAAACGACACATTTTTCTATATATTGCAAAATTCACCAATGACTCCAGTACAAAAACTCAAGACCCTCATCTCGGTAATTCAAAATTTTATCTCTACGGAAAAAAAAAGAAAAAAAAATTGCTTACGACAAAAAAAAAAACAAAATGACTGATTAATTATCTCAAAATGGTGCTCTCACAAGTAGTGATAATGATACTGTACTAAAAATAAATATTAATTCAACATTGAGGATTGAGAATAATTTTTATCAACGTAACTTGGGATTAACACGATTATTGGAACATTTTTCTACTGAGATTGCTTTCAGGAGGCATGCAAGAGTAATAAGAAGAAAAATAAAAGTGAGAAGGTTAAACCAATTCTTGTAAACAAGGATGAGTCGCCAGTTGTTGTGACCGACGCAATAGTTTCTCAAGCTCCATTGCCTGAGACTAATCATTTCGATATTATTCACCCTAAGGACGATCTTGAATTGATACGCTGTCACAGTGTGAGTTACCTCGAATGCCCCATTTTCATTTTTTTTTTTTTTTCTCCTTTAAATTTTCTGATGAATTACTGACAACAGCACGTATCACTGAAAAAATAAATAAATCCCGAGAATGACGCTTTCTCTCTCTCTCTCTCTCTCTCTCACACACAGAAAGAAAATTTGACCCAACTCACTCAGTCCGAGCCAGTGGTGAACAAATCCCCAAAGGAAACCCCGACCAAATCCAAAAAGGCCCCAAAGCCCCTTCAGAAGAAGGAATCGGTTGAAACAGATTCAGCAATTCCTCAAATCACTCCGGTCAACCGCTTGCCTACACAGTCACCTCTTCCAGCCCCTCTGAAGGAGTCATCTAAAAAGAACAAAAAGAAGAACGACATTCTGGCCCAGATTGGAGGAGAGAAAGATGGCATCAATGTTTCTCTCCTGATGCCCCTCGTGCAAAAAGCAGAACTGAGTCGTTCAGAAATCCAAATCCTCATCGATCAACTGTTGAACAAACAGCTGGACAACCCCCTGGAACATGCTGAATGGATAGAGGGTCGTACTGATCCAGTGATCAAGCTGAAAAAACAGCTAGCCGAGAAGGACAAAGCTCTGACTGAGGAGCACGCAGCTAGTATTACTTTCCAAAACAAACTTAAGGAGCTGCGAATTGAATTGAACTCTGAACGCTCACGATTGACCCAGAATTCAAAACAGCTTGAAGAGGCATTGAACAACAAGATAACTGAGGCTCAGACTCTACACACTCGTATGCAGCACATTCTTGAGAGTCATGCAGCAGAGAAACAGGGTTTCTCACGTCAGATCGAGCAACTGCAGTCTAAGGTGAACGAGGATGCTGCCATTATTCATAAAATGCAGGCTGATCAGGGACAAACTCAGGGTCATTTGCAGAAGGAGTTGAATGCCCAGCGTCAGCAGCTCGAGTCGCAGTTTGTCCAGATGAGGGAGAATGAGAAAGCTCTGCAGGCACAATTGGCTCAGAAACATGCCGAGTGCCAGGAATTGCAAAATGTCAATATGAATATGACACAGGATCTTCAGGCTGCATGTGAATCTAGCACTACTGAAATCGAAGTCCTTCGCCAAGAGCTCGCTATCATGCAGGAGCAGCTTATGCATGCAGAAGGACAACTGCATCACTACAAAGAGGCTGGGGATCGCCTTCAGGACATGGCTAGACAACTTGAGGAGTCACACCGTGCTCAGGCAGATTTGGATTTGCGTTTAAAGAATTCTCACCGACATGAACAGGATCTGCAGAAGCAAATTCACTCGCTCCAAGGAGAGATGAAAATGGTAAAGGCTGAGGCGAATGAGGCCTCTGCTCTCAATGGAGAACTCAATAAAGTGCAGGGAGAGTTGATGAAGCTCAAGAACGATCTGTCACATTCTCAGAGTGAGGCCAAGTCAGAGGCCGCTGAGATCACCAATCTCAGGAGTCTTGTTGCCGCCAGAGACGATGCGCTCGATCAGTCGCAACGATATCTCATCGAATTAGAGGCCACTATCCATGAGTTGAGGGGTGGATTGTTCGGAGCTAGGTCAGACTTGGATGAAATACAGGCAGAGCAGCGCACGGATAAGGCTGAGCTGAAAAATCAACAGGAGAAATTGAGCCAGGCCCATCAACAGGGGAGCAAGCTACAGGAGGAGAATTACAAACTGGTGCGACAAATTGGGGAGATGGAGATGGAGGTGAAGCAGTGGAGGGAGGAGAATGAGAGATTGGCGACGCAGGTTGCCTCGAGTACCGAACGCTCCGTGGGCGAGAGCAAGGAGAATGGAGTCGAGGAGAAGAGGGAGAGGGTCCACAATTTCGAGAGTGGAGTGATGAAGGAAAAGGACACGCAAATTGACGAGTTGAGAGCACAGTTGAGTAGCAAGGAGGTGGAATTCGAGAGGTTGAGGGAGGTTCTAGAGGGACTCAAGAGTGATGCCAAGAGTCAAATTGGGTTGAGGAAAAAGTTGGAGGAGGACCTTGAGGCTCAAAGGTCAAAGAACAACGTGAGTGATTTTTTTTTTTTTTTCCATTGCAATAGAAAATTCCTAGGAAATTTTTTTTTTTTTTTTTTTTTTTTTTTCAACAAGTCATTACTCTCCGTTCATTCCGCTTTGTTTTATTAGTTGTTTCAGTTGAGACTATTTTCGTGTAGTTTTTGCTTCATTAATCAGTTGAATAGGAGGAGTATTGGGGGTAGAATTCAGTTGGCTTCCATCACTTTTCAATTCTCATCATCTCGTCATTTATTGTCTCGTTTTTTTTTTTGCCTTTTTTTTTTGTTTTTCAAGTGAGTTATGTTAATTTTTTAATGATTCGGTCGCAGGAATTGAGAACAAAAAACTGGAAAGTGATGGAAGCACTTTCCGCCGCGGAGATGCGTTCTAAAAATTCTGGCAAAACCGTCGACGTAAGTCTAATCCCTCGACTGTACCTAATTCTCCAGAAGAATTAGTTAATTTTTGTATTTTCATAAATTTGAATTGAATTTAAAAAAAGTGATTGCTTCTTTAGGATGGTTTGGAGAAAATCAAGGCTGCAGAACAAGAATCCACTAAATCTCTTCTCCAGAGAATATTCCCAGACATAAAGATCCAGGAAAAATCATATGATAAATGGTTGACTACCTTCGAACAGCGTGTCAGTGCTCTATTAACACAAGCTAAACCGAATGATATACAAGAGGCAAACACAGATGTGGAAAAGCAGAATAAAAATCTGCAAGGCATGGTCTCCCACTACAAACAGATAATCATTGACACAGAGGGAATGTTGAATAATCTTCAGAGTCACGTAGAATCTGAAGAGTCCAGGTGGCAGTCGGAGATAAGACTTAAAGAAAATGAGATTGCCAATCTCAGGGTAGAACTTAAGGAACTGCTGAGTAAGACTAACATTTGCGACGAGGTAAGTATTTCTTATGAATTCTATGCATTTATCTTTCATCTAAGAGCCATCGGTCAAAATCAAGGGATAAATCTCATAATTCTGTTCATCCAATGTATGCGGGGAGAACAGACTAATGAAAAAGAGGATTTGACTTCAGATGACAGTGATGGAGTCGAATTTGCATTTAGCTGTATTGAAAAATCCCTCCCTGCAATGACGAGTGAGGTATAATTAGTGTAAAGTGGGATGCACTGGGGACGTTGTCTTTTCTCTTTAGTTTCAATGACATTTATTCTTGATTTGGAGCACGTTTTACGGAATTCATCGGTAAATTGTAATTTACAGCTTCAGAAGAAAATATCGAGCTTGGAGTCGCGTTTAGCGGCAGAGGAGGCTCTCAGGACGGAGGCTAAGGCTGAATTAAGTGCATTCAAATTAACACACTTCTCTGTCAAAGGTGGTGTTGTCAATCTTGCACATTTAGAACAACTTCAAGAGGTAATTCACACAACGAATTGCATCTCAATATGACACGTTATTTACTCTATTGGAGATATTATTTTAATTATTTAGGAAAAACAAAGACTAACACTTCACTCCGAATCAGAGAAATTGAGCTCGGTTGTAGAAAAAAATGAAGCTGAAGTCACTAGGCTCGAGGTAAGAATCAGTTCATTTAATAATTTATTAAATGAATAACATAATTTATTTAATATTCATAACAATAATAATATTTAATAATTAAAATATGAAATTTACTATTTAATCTGCCTCGAAAAATTTGGTTTCACTCGACAATCCATTGATAGCTTGTGTTTTTTATTTTTCTTTTCATTTTAGGAAGCAGCCAGCGGTGCTAGTAGTACCCCAGATCAATCAGCAATTAATGGTCCCCTATCAGACGCATCAAAGCGTGAGGTTCGTATCAAAGTTATGATATCCTTGAGATAATCACCATCAAATGAACGGCAATTATTTTAAGGAATAAACTAATCAATTAATCATATTTTCTCAACGATTTGAACTGCTTATTAACGTTTGAGTCATTTGTAATTGCCAAACATTCAATCAATTATTACAAATTAATAATAATATCTAACAGTAAGATTATGTTAACTATCCCCCCTGATCTTTGATGATCCTCAAATACACGCAGCTAACAAGAACTTGGGAGTCACTGATAGCTGCTATTGACAAAACGTTAATCAAGGGTGCTGGTAGTGATAAATGTACAATAGACGATAAAAATATCATTCAATCACCGCAAGAGAGTGACACCGGCTCAATGACCTCTGAATTAAATACAAATAATTTTCATATGACGGGTAATGACACACAGACTAGCTGGAATCCTATGAATGGCCAGCAGCAAAAAAAACACAAGAAAAAGAGGAAGGTAATGAGATTCAATGAATGAACAACCATGAGAGAAGACTTTTTCTTTCGAATCTGTTTTGTTTTCGTTGAAAATTTTTAAAAAATATATATTTTATTGTGGTAATTCCATTGGTTATTTCGTTGGCATATCTGTTCTTTTTTCATTTATGTTTTATTTATTTTTTTTTTTTGTAGAATTATCAATTTTGATATGCTTATGTTGAAAATATTCCCTAAATTTCATTTTACAAAAAGAAAAATGTGATGTCTCGCAATTCTCTAGATATTATGAATAAAATTTTGTCATTGAGTAGAGCTCGATCTTCTCATTCTGTTTTTTTAATTTCTCGTGTTATCATCAATTAATAGAAATTTGCATGTTATTATCTGAAGGAAATGGGTTAGCTTTGTTTTTCCTTTACGTCTCTCTTGATTTATCTATGAATCTATCATGAATCAATGAAAGAGTGCTGCGTCCCAGTGTTTGACTTTCTACCAATAAAAAAAAAAACAAACAAAAAAAAAACAACCATTACGGTATATCAGTAGAATTGAACTGCTTCGTGCAATGGGGAATTTTGAAGATAATGTAGAAATTAAGTAGAAATAATACGAGTCGTGAATAGAGAGAAATAACGAATGATCTTTCCGTTGTTCTGGCAGTCCACTAAGAAAGCTACGTCAAAGCGGCGCAGATTTGCAGGTATGACAAAGTTATAAAGAGATGTTGAAAGTTTTTCTCATATCGTCGTTTGAAAGGGGATTTAGACAACTTTTCTAGAGCCACATAAACAGTTTTGTCGTTTTTTACGCTATTTTTTTTTTTTTTTTATTCATCTTTATTTTTTCATTTCATTTCACTTCCTAATCAATAGTTTGAGGCCCTCATTGCAGTTTCATTGCGTAATTTTGCTTTAAAATCAAGCCACTCTCAGTTAAAATTAAGTGGACAATTCTCCAAAGATTTAAAGTCCGAATTATCATTGATTTTTATTTATTTATTTGTTTTTTTAGATTTGCTTTAATGTTAAAATTTGGAATTTCTAGTTTTCTACGTGAAAACATGAGTATATTATTTTCCAAATTTAGGGGAGCAAGTATCGTTCGCTTTCAATGTTTTTCTTTCAGTATTTATTTATTTTTAATTTGCTGTTGTTTCTTATTTTGTCCATAGTACTGAGTGCGTTTGGTACCTTGATTATTTCGAACATTTTCATGGATGAATTCATGCAAACATCAATTAACATTCATCACTCTAGGATGAATTAATGATTCGTTAACTTTCTCGAGACCCTTGGTAACTGATGGAAGAAAATTGTTACAAAATTCGCTGACAAGAGAGTGGCTTTCACTATTTGCTTGATATTACGAGAATAACATCAGACAAGATTTGAGAGGTTTTGGTCTGAATTGTTTTACCGATAGAAAATTATTATTATTCGCTTTGAGGTTTATGGGCTTTTGAATAAAATCGACAGGAGGAATTAGTTTGATTAATCAGCAGATAGTTAGATTAGAGATTAAAACCAGAGGTCAGGTGATGAATATTTTAATAAAATCTGTAAATAATTAATGAGGACAATTATTGGGGTGAAGTGCAAACACTGGGGCGAAGGGTACATTGTTCATCCACTGAATTTTTTAAATTCATCTGGCACATTAATTTTTATATTCACCTTAACACTTATTATTCTCTCTCATTTATTTATTTCAGCAATCACTATCTCTAGAGATTCAATATAATTGATTTGTAGAAATTGTATTTTTTCCTATTTATGTTTATCAAGTGTCACTCGAGTATGAATCTTTTCTCCTTTTACAATAATTTACATTTACTTTTCACTGAGCTTGTGGAATTCGATAAACCAAACTTGTTCTAGTAGTCAGCAAAATGTTTGCTTTGTATTCCAGTTGGAATACAATTTATCAAATTTTATTTTATTTTCGTAACACAAATTTTAATGCAAAACCAATTTATTTTATTTGCTTTCTACTTGTATCCTTTCTTGTCGTCCATTATTTTCCATTGTTTTTCTATCCACCTGAAATTAATTGTCTTGATTATTAATTAATGCATCAAGGGAATGAGTATCTGTGCACTTGAAACAATATTGTAAAAGTGTATATAAAATATATGGCGGCATTTTTTAAAAATAAATTTAATGACTATTCAATTTTTCAGGGTGGTTCAGGAAAAAAGTAACATCTAGAACAAAACCACGCTAATGAAGGAATGTAACTCGAGAGTTGGTAGAAAATGCGATAAAAAAGACTAATATAATAATTGAATATTATTGAATAATGTTTATTATATAAAAAATATCATATTTTATTATGTGGAAAAAGTATAAAGGAAAAAACAAGCAACAGGCGTAGGTAGATGGAACGGGTTCAACACTAGGGATTGGTAGACGAGCAAGCGTAATTGAAAAAAAAAAAAAAAAAAAAAAATCAAGGAAAAACCACCAAAAAAAAAAAGAAAAGAAAAGTGAACATCACCGATTTTCCAAACACCATTTGCAAAAACTTCTCTTCTGAAAATTACTCATGAATAAATAATCGCAATGGATTGGATTATGAATTACAGATAATTCATTGATTTTTCTTTCACTTTTATCAGTAGACTTGACAAATTGCCAGGATTAGCGATGAGAATAACCTTTTGAAGCTGAGGGATTGAATCCAATTTTTATAGTTTTAATTGCACTAATTACGAAAATCAAATTGGATGTTAAGTAGTGAAGGAGTATTTAAAAGCGACGATAAAGTCGTGTCAAACAATTCTCATTTATTTTTTCATTATTTGGAATTAACGATTGAGCATTACGGAGTAATGATAAATTCTCTAGCCTCATGATTCCAATTATCTCCACAATTGCCGTAATCGAAGAAGTAGTTTAACAATTGCACGTGCAATATAGATGATGTAACAAAAATGAACCAAGAAATGAAATTGATATAAAATTGATATACAATATTGATGAATAAAATTGCAATGGATCGAAGGAATTCGGTAAAGTTTGCGCCCAAATGAAAATCGAGTAAAAAATCATCTGCGGGAAATAGATTTTGGTTTTGTTGATGAAAGTGCTGCGTAATAGTCCAGAGTAATTCCTTAATCATTGAAGGTTTTATTAATTATATATCTATTTTTCATCGTCCTAAAAAAAAATATTAAAAAAATAGGGAATCATATCAAAAATGCCAAGTAACTGATGATTAATTGAAACTGGGGGAAATGAAAACTTGTTTTGGGATTGAGTGAGATGAAATTATTTTTAACACATTCTTTATTATTTTTAAGAAAAGCCAAACTACGTTTGTTACGTTCTGAATACTCATACAAAAACTATTAAAAATTCTTGCAGATTCATTTGATGCCTTCATGTCGCTGAATCTCAAAATGCGAAAGAAATTAATTAATTTAGAAATAGGCTGATGAATACGGAGACTCTCTCGATAATTTTCATAAAAATCTCGGTATTAAACAAGAGATCGTAGGGAGATGGTCTCGAGGATTTGGTGAACATAAATGCGTGAGAAGTTCAATAGCACTGAGAATTTTTCGAAAAATGAAAGGAAAATTCACTGTGAAAATTGTAAATGTCAACTTTTTAACGTTTACCAACACTACCAGACCCTGCTGAAATTGAAAATTTAATGAAAAATTGATTAAACAGCCTAAATGGATAAATAATATAATACAAACTGATGGCTATTATTATGATGAAATAAACATTTTTTCATTCAATACTGTACTTATTTTATATACATTTTATATACATGCAGAATTAAGGGAAACAAAATATTAATGAAAAATAATTAATTGTAATTCGATTGGACAGTGGAGATAATTATTGACGAATTGAATGAACGAAAAATAAATTGCCAAGCTGACAGTTTATTTTAAAAACCCACTGGAACAATCAATTTTTTTCTCCAATCGAAGAGATTATCTTTTTATTCCCAATACGAAACGAAAGAATATCCCAACAAAAATGCATTTTCACACTGCACCATAACTCAAAACCTATTATCAGTTATCTGTTGAAAGCATTAAAAAATGAAAGAAAAAAGAAGAACGATAAACTCCACAATAATATTGTTGAAAATTTTAATGAAAAAACACCATTGGTCAGCCTTACTGAATATGATAATAAGGGCAAATTGTGGTAGCATCTTATTGTAATGACAGTTGCAATACATAGCATTAAATGAACAAAAGAAAATACTAATAATAAAGTATATGTACCCTGCAGTATTGATTTATTCTTTTATTCACCATTATCATTGAAATAATAACACGGTTAATTTCTCACATATAAAAAAAAACAATATTTAATAACTCCAGGTCTATCACAGACTGATTCGCTTTCATAATTCGCAATAAAAAATACTTGATGCATTTGTTCACCTATTTGAACATGTTTTGTAAAAATCCAAGGATGTAGCTTCCCAGATCCTCATCCTGATTGGTCCAGGACACGTAGATAATCTTCTGATCATCCTCATCACCCTCTACCCTCACCTGAACCGATTCAACTGAGATTGATCCCTCGATAATTTTCAACTGCCATCCCTCGAGTTTGTCCTGCAGAGGTGGGAGGAGTTTGAGGGTCGTCGCTTGTGGAGGATCTGGATCCCTCACCTGGACAGTAGAAGTGAACCTGACGATGTGCTTCGGAATGCCAGCAGCCTTGGCTGCCTCATCAGAATCCACGAGGCAAACACCATCCTCCCTCAGCATCAAAACCGAATGAAGAAGTCTTCTTCTCTTTGGATCTGGTGGTAGTGCTGAGTACTTCTTGGCCTCACCCTTTAGCAGAGCTAGGGAGGCATCAACTGGTACTTTAGATGTCGTCGTGATAACACATGTCTCTCCATTCGCTGGATTATAGCAATTCACCCCGTACTCCTGCTTAATCTTCTCCTTCAAGTACTCCATCTTTGCAAACTCACCATGAACAAGCATGACATTCTTGGGCTCGCAGTATTGAATTAGCTGCATGATACCCTTGGCATCGGCATGAGCTGAAAACGACATATACTCCACTGCCATTTTCACCTCGACAATCTGACGATTCTCAAACTCAATCCGTTTAGCTCCACTCAGGACTTTGTGGCCGACAGTTCCCTGAACGCAGAATCCTGGCATTATCACCATATTTAGCTCATTGGGTGCCCACTTTTTGAATATCTGTAGAGAGAGGCCAGCGTGGAGCATTCCTGGAGTTGCGAATACCACCATGGCACCTGGATTATCAATATAGGCTTTGTCAAAGGGCTTAATGTGCTTGAAATCAAACATATTCCTCTGGACAAAGGTTTTCTTGATTTTCTGATTTGTCCAGGTGATAAACATCTTGTAATAGTTGTTGGCTTTCTCGGTAAGCCCCAGGGCGAAGTAAACAGGCACCTTGAGATTCATTCTCTCCCAGTATGTCTCGAGGAGTATACAAAGCTCTTGGGCCCTTCCCAGGGCAAACACTGGTATGAGAATTTTTCCCCCTCGATCAATGCACTCGTGAACCTTCTTCAGAAAATCACGTTCTCTGCAGCGTTTAGAGTCTCTGATTGTCGTTGCATAAGTCGATTCTGATATTAATAAATCTGGACGACATTTGTCAATCCAGGCAGCCCCCAGGTGTCTGTCTGGTGTCATGTTGTAGTCACCGGTGTAGACTATCGATTGGGTACCAACTCTGATCCAGAACATTGCAGCACCAAGCACATGGCCTGCGTAGTACGCTTTAATTTCTAATTCAGAATCCACCATCACTGACTGATGAAGTGTCACTGCTATCACCTTCTTCATACAGTCTTTTATCATTTGAGATGTGAAGAAGTTGCTCTCGCCCTTCCTCTCCACAGCGACTTTCCTCATGTCCTCGAGGAGAATGGGAGCAATCGCTTTTGTGGGATGGGTCATGTAGATTGGGCCTGTGTAACCCACCATTTCTGTGTAGTATGGAAGGGCCCCACAGTGATCTAAGTGAAAATGCGAGATAATAACGCAGTCGATGTGATTGGTCGTGGGTCCCTCCGGAACGATGTAGGAAAAATCAGGAAATCTTCTTTCGTCGTTGAACCCCATGTGCATTCCACAATCCAGCATTATGTTTTTTCCACCCATTGATACCAGAATGCAACTTCTTCCCACGTCTTGTCCAGCTCCCAATGGAGTTACTTTTATGTCAGGCATCTTTTTACTATTATTTTACTCGTAATCGGTTTATGATAGATTGTAATAAATAATTGTACAATTTTACAATTTTGCAAATAGCACTCATTAACCTCAATGTTGCACAACGTTCGATTAATATATCCTGTGTACCATCAAAATTCAATTGAAGAGAAAATAACCAACTGAGTTTAATTATTTCGCAATGTAAAGTTATTTTGTATTGAATAGAGGACAATTGTTTTCTTATAGAATTAATATTAATTCACCGGTCTGTGACGGTTAACAGAATGGCCAATGGCGTGTTGGTTACCGTCGAGATACACTTACACCATTTGCCCGCCGGCTGTGTGCTGTTTAAAACAGTACGAAAAACGATGAACCATAATAATCAATTGCTCAAAATATTTTTGAACACCATTCACGTAATAATGAAAATTCCAGGAAAAGGTGAACAGATCTTAGTTACGGAGCGCCCGGCGATTCATAATAAGGGTGAGTTAGCCCTCAGGGCGTGATTTGGAATTATTTTCACTTTTTGACCAAATGGTACTTGGAAAATTTCAAAAAAAAATTCACCATTCACGAAATTAATACTCTCCACTGACAAATTCGAATCCAAAAAATATCCACCAGGACCACACTGATCTCTTGCTAAAAACCCTGAAATTCCCACAACACGACACCGACCCACACTCACGATCTTTTTCCCCGGATATCAACATAGTCCACTAATGATTTTCGGTTTTCACGAAGCAATATTGCACCAAAAACAATGTCGTTATCAATCGAGGATGTTATTAATACTACGTCATATCCACTCCCCCACAAAAAACCGGGAAAGTCTGATTTTTCTCACGATTTGCCGCCTAATAAAATGGCGGGATCCGGAAATTTTGGCGGTTTAGCAAACACGTTAGAAATTCTCTGTTGCCGGTCCCGCGTCGTTCTTAACAGACGAAGGCGCATTCGCTTGGAGTGTCTGCGCATGGCAATGCCCGTAGCCTCTTGTGCGCATGCGTGGGGTCTCCGACGCCCCACCATCTTCTGGCATAGTCCATTGTTCCCTCGCTTTTCGGTGAGCGAGGTGCTCGGCTACTTTCAGTACGTGAAATTCCTCGGAAATCGCCGGGTATAAGAGCATAGACATTATAATACGCGGATCGTCAAACAAAACCGCCGGTGTTGACGACAAACGTGTAGAAAATCGAGGGAAATAACGTATTTAGTGAATCTTGCAGTGAGCTTGTGATAAGACAAAGGATGTTGGGGGGCATTTGGATTATTGGAAGTGTGTGACGATTTGTCGTGATTGTCGTGATAAACTTTGAGGGCTTTGTTGTTGACCTTCAGCCTTTGTTTGAGGACATGGTGTCGTCTCGTGAGGCATCGAAGAAATTTATTGAGACTTTTGGTGACATCGGATGTGTTAGAAATTGTTTAGTAATTGTTGTTACTGGAAAAAAACAATATGGCGGTCAGCCCGTGGCTGGTGTTCGCCAA